TCATCTTCCCGCGCCGACTACGATAATATGGATGTTTCAGCTTCCCAATATCGCGGTCTAGATAATTCGAAAGCTAGTAGCCTTCTCAGCAGTCTGACTTATTCCTTCTCCTGGGAAGAGACCGGTGATCCTGAACTGGTCGGAGCGCCAATAGAATGAGGAGCTGACGACAACTGAGTCATGGGAGGCTTATACTTTCTCATCGATCGAGACTCATCGGTACGATGGACAAGAAGTTCTATGATTAAGACATGATACGAGCTGTCTGTGGCGTTGCCCAAGGATACTACTTTGTATCTTACTATCTCTCATCGATGTTGTGCAGCCAGAGACATCTTTCTATCTATTGGCTGAAGGGGAAAGATTGATATGCCCGAATCGTCGACGTACATGCGGCCTAGCCGGAAACCAAGCATGGCTGTCTGACTGGCACAGAGTTTCCTTCAGACCCGATAGAGCGTCACCGAACAGGGACCAGGCACCTTGGGCTAGTCGAGTCTAATCATGGTGTGAAATGTTGTGCATCTAACCAACCGTGTCCCATGTTTTGGACTTATCTGCGCAGGCGACAACGGAGTACGGAGTACTGTAAGTCGAGATGCATTCCTGGTCCCTTATCGCTCTGGTTTCCAGAACACGTCCTAAATCCCGCTGAGAAGCAATAATCCTGGAACGAGTAGGCCGATCTTGGATCAGGTTGGAATCAAGGCAGCGACCGACTGAATCCCAAGTGAAACAACAAACATTCAAAGCAGTATCCTGCTTACTGTACCTATTTTACCGCCGTGTCCTTCTTCTCGCTTACGATACAATAATAAGGGATAGAGACCCTTTCTCCAATACTAGTCATATCCAATGCAAGGGTCGATGCCTACCTACTTATGGTTTTCAGTTTACCCTCCGAGACTGTCCCTCTTTCAGCCCATCCACCCGATCAGATCTGTCTTCCGGAAACCTTCCCCAGGCTGAACGATTTCGCTCGTACTTGCCTTCAAGTCAATAGTGCCTCAACTCAGCCGCGCCGATCCATGGTTCACAGCGGATATCGCTCTCATGTTCCAGAAAATCCGAACCGAAGCCCTGGACTTAGCCACATTGAAAATCGATCGGTCCACTTTGCTTCCTCGTTCGTGGAGTCGAAAACTTTGTGTTCAAAATGTGATGTCAGTTGGTTCGGGGGCGTTGCACCGCATATGCCATCATGATCCACGGCGCGGAGTAAGCCTCCGTCCGAGGCTCCTCGATGAGATTTGGTGGGCTGCCCGGCGGACGGATTCGGATGACAGCAAAGGCCGAGTCCAATCCGATGAATCCGATGTGGCTCAACTCTGTTCTGAACTCGGATAACCTTTCCAGCGCCATTGTTCACCCCATTAGGTTTTGTCGCCACCCAATGACAATAGTAGTACCCAGAATACACTGGTGTATGCCTCAATATTGTGGCATTACAGCTATACCTCCTTGGGAAAGGGGCAGTGGCTGCTCTACTGTCAGGCGGTCCGTTTCTGCCAGTCAGCCCATCGCAGGCGGTGTCAGATGACCGCGGCTGCTTATCACATCTTCGTCCAACGATAGCAACAATCTTCTGCCAGTTGTCATGCGGCAAGGTCACTAGGAAGACTGGATCGCATCGACCTCCTAATTATATCGCTCAAAATGGCCTCACAAGTTTCCGCGTCCAGTCCGGCACCGAAACCGAAGATTGACCTTTCCAAGAAACTCTCGGAACTTCGTGCGAGTAAAGCCAAGTCTCAGACGCCCTCCTCCCGCGAACCTGCTCCAGTCACCCCGCCTCTCCCCAGTCCTCCGGATCTCTCCTCCCATCAGTATGCGCGCCCAGTGCGTCGGATATTATCGAAGCAAGACCATGACCTATTTCTCTCCTCCTCAACCCATACCTTGATCCTCGCCTTCATCTTCGGTCTCTCCGATTCAGTGCGGGGGCGGGCAACCACGGAGATCGGCAGCCCATCCCCCATCATCACCAAAATCCAGTCTATAGTATTTCAAATCCGATCGCTTCTCGAGACACACCCGTCACTGGACCAAGGCGGCTCGCGATTTGGTAACCCAGCTTTTCGCGATCTATTTGACGATGTCGCAGCACAAAGTGCGGCGTGGCACAAGGATATACTCGGGTTTCAAGATCAAGCTCTCATAGAAGAAGCTTCGACCTATCTAATCAACTCGCTCGGGTCGCGCGACCGACTAGACTACGGTTCAGGTCATGAGTTGAACTTCATGATGTGGTTGCTGTGTCTACGTCAGGTGCACTTGTTCTCCGCCACGGACTTCCCTGCGATCGTCTTCCATGTATACGTGAGCTACATGAACCTCATGCGTGATATACAAACCACGTACTACCTGGAACCCGCTGGATCACATGGAGTGTGGGGTCTCGATGATTACCATTTCCTACCGTTCCTCTTCGGTGCCTCCCAGCTCGTCGCACATCCCTACATCACGCCATTGGCAATCCACAACATGGCAGTTCTCGAGGAGGAAAGTGACAAATACATCTATCTGGATCAGGTCCGATGGGTGGATAGCGTGAAAACCGTGAAGGGATTACGGTGGCACAGCCCAATGTTGGATGACATATCAGGAGCCAAGAATTGGAGCAAGATCGAGAGTGGCATGAAGAAGATGTTCGCCAAGGAGGTTTTGGGCAAGCTTCCCATCATGCAGCACTTTTTGTTCGGTAGCTTGCTGCCGGCGGCTCCCGGGATGAGAGAGATTACAGATGATATGGAAGACGACGAGCACGACCACGAGGGTGGCCACGACCACAACCATGCCGACCACACAGACTACTTTGGGGATTGCTGTGGAATCAAGGTACCCAGCACAATTGCAGCAGGGGCTGAAATGCGAAAGCGAGGGGGCGGATCCGGGCTGCGCCCGATTCCATTCGATTAATGTGCATATGTTACGATGGAGTTTCGGGATGAAATAATTGGACTGATGCTGAACTCGACATGAGAATCGCAGGGCATAAGGGAAACATATTAGATATTAAACTAATAAAGCAAACAGAACATGCTAAATTCTGCTACCACCCTGAGTTAACAGTTCCCAGTAACTTTCCAAGCATGGTGTCAGACATAGAATATCGCATATGTAGAGCCCGCCAGCATGCCCATGAAACAGCCATCATCCACGTTGAACCATAAACAGACATAACGAGTTCAATCTTCTTCTTTCTAGGGATCTTCTCTCCTGTATAATATATGACAATACATCAAGGCTAGTTGTTCTCGCCATCCCATCCCCCATAAACCCAACCCCCAATAGTACAAACCATACAAGTCACCTGACCGACCCGCTTAAAGCGGCAACCAAAATCGCCATTCAGTAGTATCCATCCATCATCATCATCATCCATACTACCTCCCCATCAACCTAACAATGCACGACCATCTATCCCCCAGCATAGAACAATAATAACAATAATCAACTTAATACCCGAAAACAAGTCAGGGGGAAATGGCACCAAGCGAATACTCCACCCCCGGAGGAGGCGGCAAACTTAAACTGAAAGGCTCCAAGACCAGCAACGGTCGAATAGAGAAGAAAAAGAAGAAGAGCAGCAGCAAGAAATCGTCCGTCCCAGGCAGTGGAGAGGAGAGTGAGCAGCAGAAGAATCAGCAGGAGCAGCAACTTACAACGACAACAACAACAACATCAGCAACTGCAAGTGGCGCTGAAGAGGAACCTCCTCGCACTGACGAACATGAGCCTTCCTCAGCATCTGGCTCTGCGGGAGCTGGGAAGACCGAAGCGGAGAGGAAGTATGAGGAGATGAGGCGGAAGAGGGTATGTATTAATTACATTTCTTCTACTTACTCTTTGGGGTTTGATTTAATTTTCTTGGTTTGATTGATGTTTGTTACTCATGTATGGGGTTGATGTACATGCTGCTTCTTCGAAAACCTTCTTATTATAAGGAGAATGAAGCGATGAAGGTCTATGTCACAAACAGACAAGATAAGCTAACAACCATATACAGCTGCAAGAGCGCCTGAAACGAGAAGGGGTCAAAACTCACAAAGAGCGCGTCGAAGAATTAAACAAGTATCTGAGCAGACTAAGTGAACATCACGACATGTATGTTTCCCACTTAACCCCTTTCCTGGGTGGTTATGTTTCAATTTCTCTTGGCTAATTATGTACGTGGTAGGCCAAAAATTGGACCGGGCTAAAAAAGAAAAAGTGCCCTTTCCCCCGTGGTACAGGCTCGATGGCTATCGTATCACTTTGTTTCAGGCTCGTCATGTACTAGTCGTAGTAATGGGTGGGTGCTTTTGCTTCTGGTTTTGGTTCTAGGAGGAGGGGGGTGGGGAGGGGTCGAGGTCTTCTCTGTTCTCAGTTGCAGGGATTCTAGGTGTCAGGTTGGTTTCAACCTATGGGAGTTCGGGACTAGTTAGTTGGAGAGGTTTGTTCGGGCTACTATCATATGACGCTTGCTACGTTCTGCACGCTCAATGGTCAGAACGGCGGGATAGCTACCTGAGCTTACAGCTACGTGGGTAGCTGGCACACGACTAATCTCCGGCCACCGCACTGAGGATGGATGGTACTAAGCTATTCCGGGAGGTGGGTGTGATTGAATCTATGGGTTCAATTGATGGTGGAAGGTGTGGACAAATATGCATATATACCTATGACCGCTTGGCTATGTGACACGCCAATGGAAATAGCAAAACCATTCACAAACGGGGGGGAAAGCCCATCAATTCTATCCAACACGAACTGGAAGATGGAGATATTGTCTAGTATCGGTTCGTTGCCAATAACCGCCCGCGGGAAGTCCATGGGAAGATGAACACGATCACTGCAAAAAAAGTGATAAGGAAATATGCAGCAAATAAATACTCAAAAGAATAAGAATAAATATAATGTAGCCGTCGAAACTCCAGAGCTGTGTGAACGCCAAACAGAACAGTATCAACATCAAAACTCCCTCCCCAACCCAGGTGGCGAACTGTCGCGGAAAGCGTTACTGGCCATGCAGTACTTGCTAATGCCGGCAATAAGTGTGTAGTGTGGAAGTAGGAACACCGCGCTAATAATATGTATGAAGTTTGCGACGCAGCGGAATAATAAAGAAAGGAGGAAGGATAAGAAGATCACAGCAGGGAGAATTATTGTGAGATCTCCAGGGAGAGAAGGATCTCATACGCCCTTAATGACGTGAGTCCGCTCACTGTTGAGCTTATCGGCATTGCGGGCGTGGGACTCCTTCTTGCAGTCCTCAAGACCAGTGCAGGCGTGAGCCTCCAGCATGCGATGCTTAGAGCAGTAGTGACCACTGCAGAAGCTGCAGTCTCCGACGATGCGTTGAGCGGCTTCCTTGCACTCCTTGAAGTTGCAGCGAGGCTTGCGGGGCGCCATGATGAAAGTGGTGGCGAGAAAGCGAGTCGAGAGAGGCGGTGTCAAGAGTAGCTAGTAGTAGCCGCCGGGGCAGCGATGACGATAGGAGGACTGGAAATGAGGTGCTTCTTGTTGTTCCCAGAGAAGGACTGGTAGTGACCGTGAAGGATGCTCAAATGGCAAAGAGTAGTAACTTATGTTATGCAGTCCGAAAAGAGAGGACTGATGAAGAGCACGGCAAGAGTGTCGGGCGGTTGAGGGTGACGTGGAGAGCAGTAGTCCGGTGAGGAGAAAGAGGAGGTGAGTGAGGAGGCGTGATAAGGAGGCAGGCAGATAAGGGTGGATGGCGGTCTATGTATAGTGGAAGGGGACCGAAGATCGGAGTTCTAGTAGCTTAGCTGAAGCTGGATAGCGGATAGGGATAAGCCCGAAAGTAGAGTAGAGCAAAGAAGTCAAGGCTCGATGGATGAAGCACAAGATAGAAAGGGAGGAGAGAAGGAGAACAAAGGATGGCGGAAGAAAGACGAATAAATAGGTGGCAGCGGCAAAAGCGCAGCCCAAAGTCAATTTATACGGAATGGAGGCCGATGGGGGGTGGAGGGAGGGAAGAGGGAAGAATTGGGGGGGGGGAGTCATGGATGACTTGCTGAGTCAAAGAACGGCGCTGCTGCAATGCTTGGATCAGCGCATTGCAGCAACCCGCACCGCGTTACAGAAGAGAGGGAGACAGAAAAGAGAGGCGGCGATGGGCTTATTCTTAGCCCCAGCGAACAAGAACAAGCCAAAAAAGGCCCTGCGGACGCTTGGGACTATTCCTCCGACGGGCAACGACGACGACGACGCCCGGTGGAGGCAAATCGGCCTGGTGGACCCAGAACTTTCCAGGATTCTTTGGGTTTCGCTGCTCACTTTACTTTTACTGTCTGTCCTCTCCTTTCACAGCCATCCATCCATTCATACATCTTTCTGTTCGGTTTCCTTACTCTTCAATTTCTGGTTCCCTTCTTTTTTGATTTTTTCTTGGTTTACGCCTTCGGGTGACGGCTATCGAGTTCGGTTCGTCCTGTTGCTGCGTTGGCCGGATGCGCACGAGGTTCCCGTTCGGTATCCGGCAAAAGTTAGTTCTTCTTACTCTTCTTCTTATTCAGGCTCCGAAGTTAGTAAGTGGTAGTATTAGTTAGTCGTCCGTAGTAGCAGTAGTAGCAGTAGTAGTTGGTTACTAAAGTCACATAGCAGCAGATGGCAAGTTCGCTGGTCACTGGCAAACTTTAACATTCCACAGGACCAGGGGACTTGGAAAAAGAACAAAAAAAAAGGAATATGAAAAGAAAAGAAAATATAAATGCCTCCATACTTTAATAATTAGATTAACGAGTTAGAAAAATAGGAGAAGGCTAAGAGAAAGAAAACAAAAAAGGAAGAAATTAAAAACAATAATAGAGAAAATCAGAGCAAAGGTCATACAAGAGGAGTTACATCCAGATCCAGTTTACCCGTTTTCCTACGTGTCCATCCATGCTCCAAACCAACGCATCATCATCAACTGGCCGTTTTACCCTTTTCATTTCACCAAACCAACACCAGTACCAGCACCACTACTACTTCACCACCACCACCACCACTACATCCCCCCTTTCTTCTTCTTCTCGTCATCATCATCAGGCCGATCAATCCTGTCTAAGCGAGGGCAATCATGTCCACATCAGCTGCTTCTGCTCCTCACGAGCCATTTTCAAGCTCCAACGTATATATCGCCGCCAAAAGTCCCCTCCTCCACTCTTTACACCCTTTTCCCCTCCTACTAAACTAACCCCAAAAGGACGGCCACGCTTACTAGTCTACTGACCCGTTCAACGTTGCCTTACCCTTCCACCTTCCCCTTCCTTCCCACCCCGGTTCCCAAAACTATCCGGCCCAACAATGCATGCAAGCCTGGGCCCTCCCTCCATCCAGGCACCACCACGAAGGAGAGGAGAATGGGAGGGGGAGGGAAACAGAAAATCCCTTCGCGGATGTCTGTGCACATTAGTGAAGCTGCATCCCGAGGGTTGTACTGCAGTAGCAGTAAAGTGTACACCTCCTGATTATTACTATTATGATTCCCAACCTTGCCAGCCCGGTTTCCCTCATACCTGAAAATGAATACCATCCCAAACCTACTTCTTCTCACCTAAACTTTTCTCATCTCGTCACGTGAGGGCTCATACCTTGCAGCCAGCATCCATCCTGATGACTTTTATTTATTGATCTCTCTTTTTCACAATCAGGATTTCTGGATCATCATTTTAGATCAAGTGGTCCTTTCGTACATATTGATGATCTCATCGTAAATTCCCGGAAGTCTTTCATTTTCCAAGCCATCGTCAATATACTTATCTATCAATCTAGTCCTGAATATAGAGCCCAGGAACCAGAAGGGAACCCTTGCCGATTCCACGGAGTAACCCCGGTAGTAGTAAGTATCCTGTACTGATGGTCTTACTATCATCATGCACCTACCCTTGGGTTTGCAGATTCTATGGAGTGCATAAATATGAAGCACATTCAATTTTAACTCCCAACAAAGCCCTTTTTGTTGTTCTTTTTTGAAAATTTACTAATCATACCCTCATACTGGTTTTCGGGACTCCCTATCTTTCCCAATCAGGTCTTGCATCCCAAGCTAGATCTAAATAATCTTGAATTTTACATAAACACGTCAACTAAGTAGCCTTGATCTCTAATTTCTATTCTATACTTTTTAATCTTTATTTATACATAAATCCTGTTTGTCTACTAACCCTGCTTATCTCTTCACTACTAGTACCGTTTTAAACTGGAAGACGGCAGATGGGCTGCCCAAAACGGCCGCAGTTGACACAGTTTTTGGCTATCCATTTCACCACGGCTTCTGCTATTCCCGTGTGCACATTTATCCACGTACTTCCAAGCCTGATTCTTAACCCATCCAATCCTCATTTATCTGCAGTATAGTATATCTTCCAGGCATACACTCTTCTAACTCAACAGACTCAGAACGCGCATCACTTATAAGCTCACATTGACCATCAACCATGGTCATGTGACCTGCTGTCACAACTGCGGAGGGGCTTAAGCGGCCAATGAGCTGTCGCCTACCCTGGCAGTTATAACACCAATAATTGCCGCTGCGGTACTAACTCCATTACATTGTCCACCGCTAGAATAGGCAGTGCTACAGAACCTAAGCACTGGCCCGCCTGTACCATGCATTCACTTGTTTGCACTTACTTCGCCCTATTAGAAAAAAAAATTTCACTCACGGGCTAACAGTATGTGGCCTGGGGCCACCTTTTGTGGTGATCATAGAGCGCTTGAGGCAGCCAGCAGCGCGGTCTCTTGCTGGCAGAGCAGACCCCATCTTTCAGTATCACTCTCGAACTTATGTCTTATTCATATAAGATGGCTACTGTACGCTGTCGGTAGTCTCAACTCATATTCAGCATAATCCGTCATAGTATAACTGCCAAATTGTGAGTTCTGTCTTAATATATCAGATATACGTGACCTCTGCCAATTCTTGCAAGACAATCACGTTTGATGATTTAAAGAACAGTTTAACACACTCCTTTGACAAACAAACAGATCTTGGTCAATGGAAGGTTCTGCCGGTTTTGCAGGCTTATGTTTTGCTCTTCCAGCAGAATACAGGCCTGTCTAGAACGCATATGAAGTTCGAACAATACCACTTCAGGACTTATCAGCCAACTCCGGATCCCACTAATTGTATCTCAAAGCAATATCTATGATACTGTCATTGAGCACTTGCACCAGCTCCCCCAAACCCTAATATCTATAGTGGCAGCCAATTGCATTAGACTAAGGTGAACCACGACAGGACATGTTCTGTGATGGGGCTACTGTTCAAGTCAGCACGCCAGATAGTGACTTTTCCTCTCTTTGAAAACAAGAAGGTAGGCTGACAACTGATAGAATCTTTATATCTGAGAAATGGCCATGTCAGAAAGCAAGGGAATTTCGCTGCGGACTCGGAGAGAAACTATATGGATCTTCATGAATGGTTAGACAACTGCGTAAAGTGTCATGAAAAATGCAGAGTATCATTCTCTGGCGACGTCCATGAAGAACAACATTCGTTGTCACTACTTCCGCGACGAGTCATATACCCTGGATCTGTTGACGGATCTACATCACCCCGATTTGAGGAAGGAGGCGTCCGGGGACGTAGATACAGTAACTATAAAACAACATCGACATCCCTATCCTCCCCTTCGCCGTTCACACGGACATCATAACCTGCATCCTCCAAAGCAGACACATAAGCCCTAACTATTCGATCCCCACAACTCCTTTGCCACATCCGAAGGTGTCATCCCCCATCCGCAACACAAGCTCCATCACCGCCTCGTCCCCCGACTGAACCACCACGTTGAAGCAGACTCCATCCCCATTCATAAATAACACCTAAAGGCCCACCCAGAACACACCCAGCCAACTCCGCTTCAGCTCCCAGGTTTCCAAAAAGCGCCGCACAAAAGATAGCCGGCCACCCGTCCGACGTCGTGATAAGCGGCAATGCACCGAACCCGAAGCAACTCCCGCAACCTCTGCGGCAGTCTCGTACGTGGCCGCTCTGTGCAGACACGTCCATCTACTCGCGTCCGGGCCATCAAGTTCAAGAATGAGTGTGATGAGAGTAGTATCTGAAGGAGTCCCTGAGTTTGTGTCAGCGGGGGACCGATTCGTTGGTCCAGATGAGCTCAAAGAGGGGGTCAAATCCGCGAGTGCTGTGACGTAATCGATGCGTGCTTTGGATTGTATCAAGTAGCGGGCTATTCCCGAGGTGACAGTAGTTGAAGGCTCATTCTAAAAGGATTTTTTCTATCCGCAATGCATGTTAGTGAGGGTCTGGGTTTGGCTGAGCTAGGCAGGGGAGGGCGGGAGGGGCTGACGTCTATCGTAGAGGCCGGATGGGGCGTTAGGGTTTGCACCGCGAGCGCGCAGGAGCTTGACGAGTGGGAAGGATACGCTTCGGATTGCGTACTATTAGGAATTCTGGTGGAATTTCTCAGTATATCCTGGACGGTAAATGATGAAGGTGATAGGAATGTATATCTCACCGGCAGGGGCTCATACTTAGTAGTTTCGGGCCGTTATATCCTATAGACTAGTTGCTTTCCACGTGTCCATAAGTAGAAGCTGATGCGGCTGCACAAAAGTTAAGTAGCCTGGAATGATAATAGGCAGAGACCTGGACTCACATCTCCAAGTAACTGCAGGATATTACCCAGACTGGTATCCACGTCAGCCAGCAGCTCAAGCTACTCGTCAGTTTGACTCTTTCTCGTTGATTGCTCACTGCATGCGAGCTTTCTTTCAGGTCTTAATGAATTTGCAACGTCGCTTGTTTAAGTTGGTTTAAAAACTCTCTCGGCGGAGTACAAAGAAGGTATGGGAAAGGGCGTCAATCACAAGTGGGAAGAAGAAGGCAAACCCTCATCATTTCCGGTCTGCTGGTAAAGGCAGGTAATACCAGCAGGAGAGGCGCTCACGCTCGCAGCATTAAGATCTTGAGCCTATCGCACGCGGTCAAGAACTGGTTCTGGGGGCATGTTTGTATGATCTGATGATCTGGACCACGAACTGATGCACTTTTCTCTGCAAGTCCTGCCAGGGTGACTACCGATGCTGCCCTGCCAATGACTTGCCATATTGAAGTATGGGAGTGGATGGGCAAAATTGAGTTGTGGATGCGTATTGTCCCATGTACTATGTAGGGCATCTTTTCGCGATCAGCTTTCCTGTAGTTGGGCAGTGTATTATTTCTGGATGAGCTTTATTCAGCTGCGAATGGCTGTCTTTTTAAAAAGACAGACAGGTAGTGTAAGTGTCAGAGATTGTCACCGGCGCTTATGGGATCATGGCGAGGTTGGAATTATAGGAGAGGAATGACTTCACAGAGCCTTGTCTTGTGGTACTGTATTACATGTAGTCTAATCAGCAGCATCCACATCAGACCCCAACGCATGGATATCTCAGCTGAAAGTGGGGTACTTTTTATATAGGGCCGAATTTCCTATAAAGCTGCTCGTATTGGAGTTGTTCTAGACAAGTTGCTTGACATACCCTTTACTGGTGAATGTGATATACCTCCAAAACTGGGAACTATTTCCAGTCTACTGCCTTGCTGAGAGGAACTTGCTGGGACTGTATCTGACGTCGCATGACCCAAGAATAGGCCCCGTCTATAAGTATATCTGAAGTATTTCTGATCCTTCTATCACAATGCCATGACCTATTGTAATTAGGGCTTTATGCGCGTACTAGGATAATATCTTGAATCAATAGAAGTTGAATAACATCGACTAATCAATTCAAACCCTCCATGCCTCAATGATACCATTGCAGCTTCCTGGAACCTGGTATACCTTGCCCACTCGCAGGCCAACCTCAGCGAGCACGGTGTGCCATTCTTCTATCGTTCGTTGTTTACCACCAAGCGACATCATGAGTACGTCCATCCACCCTTCTTCAATTCCTGCTTTTGTCTGAGGGACTAGAATCTCCTCAATAAGAAGGCGAGACTTGTTTACCTCCATCGCTGCTACAGTTTTCTTTAGGATTTCAGAAACCTTGGAAGGAGGCCAGTTGTGAAGACACCGGCGGATGAGATAAATCAATGCACCTGCAAGATCGATGAGTTAGGTCCACAGCACACAAGAGACAATATGAAGATAGCTTACCTTTAACTGGTTGTTCCGTGAAAAAGTCGTGAGGGACCATTTCAATTCCATCAGGTGGAGGGACAATGCTGCGAACAACATGCTCTTGATCTTCAAGTATGTATCTCCCAGGCAGGCCATCACAAAGAGACCGTATCTGGCGGATTGCGCGGCCTTTACCGCCGCCAATATCAACAGCGACAGGATCATTGGCTGCTGGCTTTTGCTCAGAGATGACCTTCTTGAAAGGATATACTTCGAGCATCCATCCAGAGGTCATGGCTTGCATAGTCATCCCTTTATTGAAGGCTTCCATTCGACTAGGGTAGCTCGCCATGTGCTGAAACATGCCTTTACCCCCAGTTTCGTGCGTGTACGTGTAAGGGTTGTTGGAGACGGAGTCCGGCGATTTCCACCCATTGTACGCGAGAAAGTCGTGCATCTTGAGATGCGTCGGCATATGCTCGTCCATTCTGCCGGCATAGAAGAGATCAGCAGGCTAGAAGCATACAAACAGGACCTTTAATGGAGACGGGGTGTTTTCTACTCACACAAACTGGAATAACCCACGAATCTCTGGGCGCAGATAAACTTCAGAAAACGGGGTATGTCTGTATGTGCTAGGCCCGACTTCCTCGAAAGGACCATATGTCGAGGCAATTCTCATCAGGCGCTCTGAACCGAAACTTGTTAGACATTTGGTGTTCAACATAGACTCAGGAGATGGATATATAGACGCACCAACAAGATCTTGTTCGACGTTCAAATCTTGGGCCAGCTCTTCAGCTGTGCGTGACACGCCCCCTGTAGGAAGCCTGTCAAACACTCCCATCTCCAACAATGAGCGAATTGCTGCGATATGAGCCGTCTGACCGGTTAGCGGAGGGTAGATTCTGGGCAACAGGAGGACGGCGAGCAGCTCACCTTGTCAAACCAGCTCTGCACAGTATCTACAGGTCCTTGAACGACCTGGAGGAGCTTGAGCGTCTCTACAATCAATTTCTGGCGCGCACCGTGCACCGCGCTGTGACATTCAACACTGTCACTTGTGTTGCATGTTATCGCAACACGACACTCTTCCGCAGCATTGTTGAGGGTGCCGAGTGCCTTGTCAAGCTGCAACAGCTCGTTGTCCGTGTTGTTTGAGATAGTCATTGTTGTTGTAGTAGTAGTTGCTTGTCTGGCTGGTTGAAGATGGAAAGTTCCGAGTTTTATGGAACGCTTTTCTTCCTCAAGCGTAAGGGACGACCACTACAGATGGATATTTCCATACTATCTATGTGAGCTGCCGGCCACGTCACCTCTCCCTGTATGTATGCACTGCAACAATTTGCATATACGAAGCCGTGTTGTTCATCAACACAATCGATAGCCGTCGCATCCTGGTATGCCTGCTTGCACGTATGTAGGCTAGTCGCAAGGGGCTAATGGACAAAAGCAGCATCTTATGTCCTTGCGGCATGATCGGCGTTCCCGTCAGTTGAGGAGGCATATTCCAAAAGTAGACATCTGCTTCCACTAGCTCCAAAAGCTCCTACGCTCTTTTGCTTTGCCTCCTCAATTACGAGTCATGACCCTTATCTTGATATCCCGGAGCTGCATTGATTGGTGCTAGTAGAATGCGCAATACTCGCACACCCACCAAGAAATGGCGGTCTGTAGGCTGAATTACCTTCCGTCATATCACGAGAATAAAAGATCTTGCATTCTTTTCTGCAGTAGCCAGGCTTATCAGTACATTCTAGAGGATGGGTGACCATGGGCGTTGGCGAACGAGCGCATCGATGCCCCCCTACATTCGTAACTATGTACGTACTATACTATTCGCCTCGTGCAAGGAAGCTGCATAACAATGGGAAGAGATCTCCAGTACTACATGTGACGCCACTACTACGATAACTGAAAATGCCTCAGGAAGCAAGCGATGTAATCTCTTTGGAGTGACTTTGTTCCCAGGGATATTCAGTCTCCACCGTGCGAATGAGGTTCTCATAAGCTGGACTGCGGACCCGAATGTCGATCTCGTATGGGACTGGCGAGCTGACAAACCCTGCTTGAAACTCTGGGCGGAAGTCACTGTCAGTGCTATTCTTCCTCGGCTTACTGATCTGGAAAGCGGCCAAAGATTGCGCAACGGTCAGGTAGATGTTCGCTCTGGCCAGGTTGCGTCCGGGGCATATTCGTCGACCGAATCCAAAGGTATGTGGATCAGGTTCAGGCGAACGCCCCTCGGAGCCTAAGAAGCGTTCTGGCTTGAAGGAAAAGGGATCAACGTAGGTGTTTGGATCGTGGTTCATAGCCCTGAAGGGATAAGTCAACAATGAACAATTCCTCGTAGAGTTCCCATGCGTAACACGAACCAGACGTTAGCCATGACCCAAGATCCCTGCGGGATGTCATATCCGTCGCACACATCGGGGGCGATAGATTTGTGTGTGATGATGGGAACAGTGGCATGCCAGCGAAGAGTCTCCTTCACTATGGCATTGATGTACGGGAGGTTGTCTCTATCTTCGAAGCCAGGAAGACGATCCGGCCCTAAGACGGACTGGATTTCCGCTCGTGCTTTAGCCTGAACTTCGGGATAGAGGGTCATGGCGAGAAAGAACGTAGCCAAGGTCGATACGGTCTACTAGCTGTCAGCACTTGCAGGTATGACTATACAGAGCCCCCAAGGACAGGCGTACAGTATCTGCCCCTCCAGCATATATCGCTGCGGCGGACCATTTCAGCACGGACTCATCGGTCTCTGACAACCCTTCTTGGTTCCGGAGCGAATTCGAGAGGAAGGAAGAACGGAAGTCACTCTGGGCGAGTCGTCGCTTGACAAATGTACACGGCACATCACAGAAAGCTGTGGCAGTCTTCCGGAAGCTGTCTGCCATCCGGACGAATTTGGCCCCCGGAAGCCAGGCCGGCAGATATCTTACTAGAAGCCAATGAATCACTGCGATCTATGATAGATGTTCACTCGGAAACTTACACAATGGAAAGACATCTACTATCCAGTTTCCCGGAGTGAGGACCAGACCAAGGTCGTGCACCGCTCTCTCGGCCAGGTCAACGAGAGGGTCATTGTCGTGCGGTTCCACCGTGTATCCGTAAGCTATCTGAAGGGCCACCGCCCCGGTCATTCTGGATGCCATTAGATCAGCTTTGATGCTATTGATTGCTGCGCCACATACTTTCGTAGCTGGTTGTTTAAACTGTGTGGATCATCCAATAAGCGCAGAAGGAATCGGCGAACTTCCACCTCTTGCACTGAATTGTATTGCGATACGCATTTCGCCGAACCAATTCCCTGGTGAAGAGCCCTCCGAATTTCCTGGAATCGATCAGAGTATTCGACTACTCCCAACATCTGATCCCAGCCAGCCCTGTAAACATTAGTACTTGTTCAGCGGTACAAGCACAGGAGAGGCCGACATGGATGCAAAGTGGAATTTCGGGCGACACGAATGGATCGCTGATCGTTTGTCCAACAACTCGGTAGCAAGGTGGACATCATTAAGAACGATCATCGTCCGCCCAGGGACCGACAATGAGCTAATAGGGCCTGGTATTAAATCGTCACTACAATATTTCCATGCGACATTATGGCCCGGCCGGAGAACTTACCGTAAGTTTCTTTGTGCTTCAACCAAAACTCCCATAACCGTACATCGTCAGAAGGCAGGTCACCCAAATTACCAAACAGTGGCTTGCGTGGAGGGCCTGGTGGTAGTTTGATTTGCCGTCGTCTCCATTTCAGGATACTGGTACTAAGAATGAGCCCTATAAGGGCCGAAAAGGCTGCTAAGGTCAAAGAAAACATTCGATCCGAATGTGTGCCTTGCGATGCGAGATAGAGACGGTTCGTTTGCTTGATTGAAAGGCCAGGTAGAAATAAGCGTCTCTGTGATATCTAGCTACGATGCGTGTCAGCCACCCTCGACGGAGTCTTATCCCTTGCCTGCACGCTTCAAGCCTGGCCGAGAACGCGTTAGGACTCCCCCGTAGCCAAGAAAATCCATTCGCCAGTGACCCTTGCTTTAGATAAGGCAACACGTCCCTTGCGTGGGAATGCCGTGGTATCTGCAATATCTGTTCTATTACACGAATTCCTCGTGCTGATATTCGATGCACCTTATCTGCGCATATGCCGGTTTAGTCACATACAGAGCAATGTAAGGAGATCCCATCGCACTGTTTATCCACGTCTTTCACGGGTAATGGATCACACGACGCTGACCGCTAACTTAGCTAAGTGAGCAATATGTAGGGTTCTTATAGCGGCGTTGATAGCCGTGTTGACGCTCAACTTCATAAATATCGTATAGTACCTGCTTGCGGCCGTGAAGCTCCAGACTGGCTGGAAAGACACGGGCAAAATGAGAGTAGTCTTCTTTAGCAACAAGTTTCCGGCGTTTGACCTACGGGATCTCTCCCAGAGACTCCGTTTCGTCTCTCGATCACGGAGTCATGGACTCCTGAGACGTTTTCTGGAAGAGGCGACCATTGTCGCCCACGAAGAGATTCGGCGACTCCCACCAGAACTAAGGACTCTCATTCCTCCATTTCATTCAATCCTGGATCTTGTTGATTCATTCGACTGGCATGGAGGACCATTAACCGCAGTTTTCGAGTGCGCTTTTACCTGTTTATTTCATCTCTCTCTCTTCCTTGGGTAAGTCTCTACCTCAATTCTTATGATACTGGATGGGGATCTGAAGTAGAATGTTGATCAATTCAGGAGCTACGAGCGCAACCCGCAGGAGTTCAACTTCTGCAATTCAACCTTCACTGGTTTAGGGTTAGGTCTGTTGGCTGCTGCAGGTATTGCTGCATCTCAAACGCTATTAGACGTTCCTCAAACAGCAGCCGAAGCTGTTCGGATTGCTATGAGAACAGGCTATCTGCTGTACCAGAAGCAGCAGGAGATTGAGCCGCAGGAACTAGACGCTCCGCCAAAAAGCTGGTCAGTGATTGTGAAGCACATACATCCAACAACAGTACAAGAGACACTCGACCGTTTCAACGAATCCATTGTAAGCAGGCAGCAAATCGTTGGACAGCAAAGCCTAACAATGATCTAGGATGCCTCAACCACGGGCAGGCTCTATATCAGTGTTGTCGAACCAGATGGCAGTCTGTTTGTGAATGGGCCACCGTCCATGCTGGCAAAGATATTTGGAAAGACGGGGGAATTGGCATCGGCACGCCACGCCGCTTTGCCAGTGTATGGAGGCCCTTGCCATGCAGCTCATCTCTACGATCGTGCTGATAGTTCCCGCATAGCTGAAACAGTCAACCCCCAAATTGCCAATCGGAGAGTTCCTGGCACTGTGCGCTTGCTCTCCATGGTTGATGGGAAGCCACTGGGCTCTCAGACTGTACGTGAGCTATTTGAGTCTGCCATATATTGCCTCCTGGCAGGCACCATTCAGTGGGGAAATGTTGCCGAAGCTGTTTTCTCGTCTTCGGAGTGGAACGACAAAGCTCACCTCCGTCTGGAGTCAGTCTTCCAGTCTTGTCCAGTTGTGAACACCCTGATATCCCGTGCCCAGGCTACCTATCCACACTGTACTGTCGATTTTCGAGAGCACTTGCAATGGGTGTTCATGGAAGAGAACCAACCTACCAACCCCACCAGCACGGACGTCGCAGTGGTTGGTATGTCCTGCCGACTGCCTGGCGGTGCCAACGACTTGGCCGAATTCTGGGAACTTCTGGTGGAGGGGCGCGACGTGCACAAGAAGATCCCGGCCGATCGCTACGATGTAGAAACACATACGGACATCACCGGAAAGCGCCAGAATACCAGCCACACCCCATTTGGGTGCTTTATAGACAACCCCGGGCTCTTCGACAATGGATTCTTCGGAATGTCTCCCCGGGAAGCCGGCCAAACGGATCCAGCCCATCGCTTGGCACTTCTGACTGCCTACGAAGCGCTGGAGCAGTCTGGATTCGTCCCTAATCGGACACCATCTACGATGGCCACTCGAGTGGGTACATACTATGGCCATTGTTCGGACGATTACCGGGAGGCCAATGCCGGGCAGGATATAGACACCTATTTTATTCCAGGCAACTACCGTGCCTTTGCTCCCGGTCGTATCAGCTACTTCTTCAAATTCTCCGGTCCGAGCTACAGTGTCGACACAGCGTGCTCGGCCAGTTTGGCTGCAATCCAAATTGCATGTTCGGCCTTGATACGTGAGGAGACGGACACTGTGGTTGCTGGAGGATTAAATTTGTTGACGGGCTCTGACAGCTTTGCCGGCCTCAGTCGTGGCTATTTTCTCTCCAAAACTGGAAGCTGTAAAGTCTTCGATGATGGAGCGGATGGCTATTGCAGAGCAGACGGCATCGTGTCAATCGTGATGAAGCGTCTATCAGATGCTCAGGCCGATAATGATAATATTCTCGGTGTGATCCGAGCCTCTGCCACAAACCATGCGGGGAATGCAAGCTCCATAACCCATCCTCATGCGCCTACACAGGAGCATCTCTTTTCGCAGGTCTTGAACGAGGCAAATGTCAATGCACTGGATGTGGATGTGATTGAGATGCATGGCACGGGGACGCAGGCAGGCGACACTACCGAGATCGAATCTGTCACAAATGTTTTCTGCCCAGGCTTAAAGAGACGCTCGCACCCATTGTATGTTAGCTCCGTCAAGGCAAATGTGGGCCATGGAGAGGCAGCTGCGGGTATTACAGCGCTAGTCAAAACGCTGCTGATGTTCCAGAAGGGTGCGATTCCGAAACATGTTGGGATCAAAACAGCGATCAACAAGCAATTTCGCGATCTTGGGACGTTGAATGTACAGATCCCTTTGGAAACTGTTTCTTGGGCCTATGACAAACACCGAAGGCGATACGCACTGGTCAACAACTTCAGCGCTGCAGGGGGAAGCACATGTTTGCTGCTCCAGGAACCTCCTGTGAGGAGTACGCCGCAAGCATGTCCCCATCCAACCCTTCCCGTTGCCGTTTCGGCGAAAAGTAAAGTGTCTCTTAAGGGCAACATCCGGAGCTTGATTACATACCTTCAGCAGAACCCATCATCGCACCTTCCCAGTCTGTCGTATACCACTACGGCAAGGCGGATGCACCATAGATACCGCGTCATCGTCAACGGGGGATCTCCCCAGGAACTGACCCGCCGCCTTCAGACATGTCTCGATGAGGTGGAATTACGGAGACCAGTTCAGAAGCGACCATCGGTTGCCTTTGTCTTTTCCGGGCAAGGGTCGTTCTATACAGGCGTTGGCCGACAACTATACGAAGAATACCCTTCATATCAAGAGACGATCCAGCGCCTGGATAGGTTATGTCTTCTCCACGGTTTCCCCTCGATCATCCCACTCATCCTAAGCCAAGACCAAGACACCACCGCGGCCACGCCTCTAATGACGCAATTATTGACAACATGTGTACAGATTGCGCTGACTGACTTGTGGCGTATGCTTGGGGTGAAGCCTGATGTAGTCATCGGGGCAAGCCTGGGAGAGTACGCTGCATTGCATGCTGCTGGTGTATTGTCTGCCAGCGATGCTATCTTTCTGGTGGGCAGACGAGCTCTGCTTTTGCAGGAGCTGTGTACCATAGGCACACACAGCATGGTTACAGTACGAGCATCTGTCGATGAGATTTGCGAGTGCATACCGCTTGGGAAAGAGTACGAGGTGGCTTGTATTAACGCGCAGCGTAATGTCACCATTGCCGGACCCGTCGAACACATGGACGATATCCAGGCGTCTCTGGAGTCGAATGGGTATAATACCACCAAACTCAACGTCCCCTTTGCCTTCCACTCAGCTCATGTGGAACCAATCCTCCAGCGTTTTGGTGAGATTTCCCGAACAGTTACATTCCACTCGCCGAAGGCGTCAGTCCTTTCGCCCTTATTAGCAGACATTGTCACTAGCAGAGACATCTTCGCCGACTCATATCTGGAACGGGCGACACGGGCAACTGTAAGGTTTGCTGCGGCACTTGAAAGGGCGCAGGAGGCGGGAATTATACATGCCAATACTGCCTTTATTGAAATTGGAGTCCACCAAACCTACAGCAATGCTGTACGAGCAACTATACGGGATATGACATGCATGGTCCCCAGCATGAGGTCAGATCAGAGTAACTGGAGCACATTTGCAGCTGCCATGTCTGCATTGCACGAAGTTGGGGTTGAGATCGACTGGAATGAATGGTATCGACCATTTGAGCCAAATTTACGCTTGCTGACCCTCCCGTCGTACCAATGGGATATGAAAAATCACTGGATCCAATACAACGGCAATTGGCTGCTACTCAAAGACAAAGGACTCAGGACACAAGATGGTGGTGCCCTAGCTCCAGTGACTCCAGCTTTCCAAACTCCTCTCTTGCACCAAATTCTCGAAGAGTCGTCAACAGAGAATGGCCACACCGTTTTAATGCAGTCTAACATTATGGAAGACCGACTCTTGAAGATAATATCTGGACACAAAATGTGTGGACGACCAGTAATGTCTGTGGTATGTATGGTTCATTCCACCCTTCATCACTCAATGTTCTTCCCTGACCAGCCTAGTTCGCATATCCTGATATGGCGTTATCCCTGGCCAATTACATATATACCAAACACCAACCTCAGGTTGATCTTCCGTCAATGGAATTTTGCAACGTACAGATTCTTCAGGGTTTAGTTGCCAAAAAAAGCCAAGCGAAACCCCAGTGGTTACGGGTGCGCGCAGATGCGGACCTGAAGAATCTTTCGGTCCGAATGTCCTTTGAGCACGCCCTGGAGGACGGCCATGGCTCCCGCGAAACCTTAGCTACGGGAGTGGTTACGTATGGAGACAGCCAAATCTGGTCGGACGAATGGGATACCCAAACTGAGTTACTCTTAAGCAGAATTGAGGTGTTGTATCGATTGGCCCAGGAGGGACAAGCCAGTCGCCTGTCTGGCAACCTGGTCTATACTCTCTTCAAAACGCTTGTCGATTACTCCGAGAAATACCGGGGAATCCAGTCTGTGGTACTGCACCACCTGGAAGGGGTGGCCGAGGTATCCCTTCCGCCTGGCGAGGATGGATGGACGGCAGCTCCCAACTATATCGACAGCGTTTCTCATGTGGCAGGCTTTATCTTGAACGGGAGCAACGCACTCGACGACCACGATACTGTCTACGTCATGGATGGTTGGAAGTCGATGAAATTTAGCCAGCCATTGGTCCCCGGAGCACGATACCAATCGTACACCAGTCTGAAACCGGCAAAAGAAAAACATGGTTTCTACATAAGCGACGTCTTTGTGGTTCGAGATGGGCAAATTGTTGGCCAAATTCGAGGTATGACGATGCGTCCACTGCCTCGGATTCTGCTGCGCCGGTTTTTCGATCCACCTGAGGAAAGTCCAGTGTCCCACAAAGGTATATCCATCTCTTCGACTATCTCTGACAGCCTCACGGACACACAATCACCAATATCAGTATCCGCCGGCAGACCTATTGCTTCGATCGAACGAGACACGCCACCCTCTACGCCCGGCGATGCTGAAATCAGCCCGATAGGCCGTGACGACACTAGGCTTGTAAAACAAGCCATGGGCATTATTGCCTCAGAGACATCTATCTGCCCGGAGGAGCTCACGGATGATGTCGAATTTGCGAACATTGGAGTGGATTCACTGCTGTCCCTAGTCCTGGTTGAAAAGTTTGCGTTGGGGTTGCATCTGAATCTTCGGGCGTCCGTATTTCAGGACTGCCCCAGTGTCGGTAGCTTCAAGGAGCATCTAGTCGCTGCTTAATGAGCTACTAGAGTTGTCTGCAGAAGTAGGAAATACCATCTGGGCTATTCAGTCCATTTGTAATGCGAGGAAAGTGCACTGCTACCGTATCGGAGAACAGTAGAGCGTTAAAATAATATTCAAAACCAAAAGAGCTAGTCATATGAAGCTTTTGAACACGGACCAAAGTGATTCCCCAGGCTACCTCTTCATGCTAATATGGTACATCCTGAATACACAAAATACGTGTGCACCCACGCTCATGCCCTCTCACCTGTATGCCTTCCTAGCTTTCCGACCCATTTTTCGAACCGGTTGCCGTCGCACAGTGCTCTCTTTCGGCGAGCCGAGTTCCTTCATCGGGTTTGGCTTGATTCATCCTTTTCGTGCGCCACTTCATTCCACGCCAATATGTTGCACAGAGCAATGGGGATGCAACAAGCACCACCAGGCCGAAAAAAGTGAAGCACCAACCCCTGCCCATTCCAGAAATCAAAAACTGCAATACTGCAGCCAGCACCGCACCCAGCCAACATCGAACAAGGTTCGCAGCTGCCGATGCCGTTGAAGGTTGCTCCGGAAAGAAGTCCACAAGAAGGGCACTCAGGATATTCACACACCCAGTGGCACAGAATCCAATCACGCCCTGCAAGATCAACGGTACATACAGAGGCATATTCTGGCTCAAAACCCAGCCATATGGGATTACGCCTAGGATTACGACACCAAGTAGTGGCAAAGCAACTTGCAGACGGACCTTCTCTACCGGAAAGTCGCTGATCTCAGAAAACAACGGAGCGGTAGTAGTAGTAGTAGTAGTAGTAGCAATTGTGCCCTCCATTCTGCGTGCAATGCGTCGGTAATTCAGATCCGTGAATATTCCAGTCAGCATAGAGCTTGTACATCCAGCAATTCCGATGGGTCTAAAATTTCACAACCGTGGAGTGATGTCCCAAACGTTAGCGTAGAAACATTATAATGGGGGTGTCTGTGCAACAAAACATAGCAACCCAGGAGTAGTATCTTATCATAGCGTACAGGAAACATAGGCCAAGCTTGAACGTATTGAGATGATAGAGTTGACCAAAGGTGTTGGCCATGTTCGTCATGATGGCGATCTGTAAGGCATAGGCCAACCCGATGTGTAATATAACGATGGATGCTGCTTTGTCTCGGAAGATTTTTAGAGACTGTAATGGATTGAATCCAGGTTTTTTGGTGGTGCTTGATTGAGCTTGCACCCGATGCGCTGGTACATCAATCGATGTTGGCGGATCGTGATGACGGGAAGTAAATTGTTGGACCAAGCTCTTCCTCCACCACGAACGTGGAACTCTGTGTCTATCGGTCACGACTTTTCTGGAAGTCTCCGGCATCGTTGTAGTATAGATCAGTAAGTAGCTCCCACTTAGGATAAGTAAGAACCAGAAGATGCTCCTCCAACCAAGCCATTGAACGAGGATGCCTCCAAGGATGGGGCCCAGTGAGAGGGCTGTCATCAAGCCGGTAGTTATAAGGCCCATGTATTTACCCCTTTGAGATGGACTTGCAATGTCTGCTGCGACTCCGTAGCCAAGCGACGTTGTTGCACTACTACCTGCACTCTGGATACAGCGGAGTACCATTAGCGCTGGGTAGGTATCTTGAAGTGCCAGCCCGACATTAGCCGCAGCATAAATGAGGAAACATGTGATATAAACTGGTCGGCGTCCACTTATGTCAGCAAAGCTACTCATGAATGACGGTGCTAGCCCTTGAATGATCATATAAACAGTCACGGAGAGGTTGATCAATGTATCGGATACTTGATAGTGATCAGCAAGTACGGGAAGTGCTGGATAATATATCTGACTCGAAATCGGGGACATGAGAGAAGCAAGCGCGGCCATAGCGATAATGAATACTCTCTCGTACTTGCTGAAGTGACTATATGGCCTGTCCGCGTGGCGGTCTTCTCTCTGGCTGTCGTTCATGGTGGTCCCTTCGTTGCATCGGCTCTCCTTCGTATCGTGGTTTCGACGGTCGTTCCCTTGGATGGTACCGTTCATGGTCGGCATCGGGGCTCATTGGCAGTAGAAGCAGATGTCGCTGAAAGTGAATGTAGCGGACGTCACATTAAGGGAGAGAAGTAATTAAAGTCTCAGGACTAAACCTGGTGTCTACAAGCGTCGAAGATTTGCATATGCAGCTGCATCAGCCCATTTCCACGCCTTTACCCCTTTATTAGACTTCGTGGTATATACTTACGCGAAACAAGGTAGCTATCATACTGAAGGAGCCGAGCTGGATTGATTGATTCTTCGTGGCTTTCCCCGGATGATATTACGTTCCCCATGGGATTTTGTAGATATTATGCTGTTTAGGGCAAGGGATAGTTGTGCACACGTAACTTCTGGGTGATCACGCGGCTGTCCAGAAACCTTCGAGGCCAAGAGCTGAAGTAGGCATGGTGCAGCTCATTGCCTATCCAGGAGATGCACATTAAAACGCAAGGGGCAAAATTCAACTTTCTCCCACAATGGTCTACAAGGCAGGTTGCATCAAAAGAGGATAGGACCTATCCTTAACCAGCCGATTCTGTGGTCCACCATGCTATCTTGTGGCGCATCTTCGGCATGCACGACGCTGCTGAAATTTCCCCACCGAGCCGGGGCAGTTCGGTGTGGACAGTACATTTACCTTGCTGCCTCATTCAATGTGAGAGTGCCTTGCAACCCACCTCTCGCGCAATCATGTATATCCAAAGTATTTGACCTAAACGGAAAGGGGTCACGAGTACGGAGTACTAAACTTACTAACTAGTTGTGCGGCTAGGGAATCATTCTTGGATCGGAAACTTAGTTCTCACCCTAGCTGCAGGATTTGATCGTGCATTATGCACTCTTCATCCTTGTCTAAGTAGAGCCGATTAAAGCAGTTCCATTGTGACCGTGGCCCCGGTACCTCGTACTCCATGGTTCATAAACCACGACATTACCGGGGACCAAAGCCTTTCGCAAGCTCAGGTACCCAGAAGAGTACCAAGTACCACCTCTATCACGATATCACATATCTATTTCCTATCGAGCATCACAATGATAGATGCAAATGGGGCCTCTCCGGTTCCACATGAACCAGTCACGGCGGCTGAGAGGGAACGTCACGTTGACAATATCACTCCCATCCGCAACATCCTGTTGTCTACACCTTATGAATGTGCCAATATTAAGCAATTGAGTGGTGGTGCCGTGAATTTCACCTACCGTGGTCTACTTGCTCACCCGCTCGCCGATGGGAGCAAGAGTGTCATCATCAAGCGTTCGAAAGAGTATGTGACTTTAGTCCCTGGTGTTACGTGCTCAGCCAGTCGATCTGTGAGTAGCTCGAGTTGTGCAACTAGAACTGAGTGATCCGCCCGCTGATACGGATTCTCACGATCTGTAGCAAGTCGAATACAGAATTTTGGAGTCCTTGGCGCGAGGCCTCGTGGCGCCAAAACGTCACGACGGGTTTATTATGAGAACACCCAGTCCGTATCACTTCTTTGAGCAGAATGTGCAGATCATGGAGGACTTGCAGGGTACAACCCCTCTCGTGGACATCATTTCTGCAGCTGGATGTAATATGTCCCCTACTTTTGCCGCGTCCCTGGGCTATGCAATCGGCAGCTGGCTAGGTTCCCTTCACTCCTCGACATCGAAGCGTGGGGGCGGCAGATTTGACTTGCACGAGAACCCAGGAGGCCGGGACACAATGTATGGCTTCTACTTGGGCATACTGGAGGAAAAGATCAGAACTGCCCCCCACCTTTTTGATGGCGTTGCAGACCAAGTACGAAAGTATGCTGTTGAAGAGATCGAACGACGTGAAGGCTGTGGGATGTCATTGGTGCACGGGGATTTCTCAGTCAGAAAGTATGAAACTCACTCCTTGTCTTGGTTACTTATCTTGCAATGGTGTCTTTGCTTAGCTTATTAACAACGCCCTACAGCCTCCTTATTTCAGATGCATCGCCAGACAGCGGGTATGTGACTGTCAGTCCCATTGACTGGGAATTATCTCACTATGGCCGTCGTGATCAGGACCTCGCACAAATAATGGGTGACTTGTACATCCTAGAAATTGTGAAAAGTGTGAAGATTGGCCGCACCATCCTCCAGCATATTATACGAGGGTATCCGGTGCTGCATGAGGAGGAAATATTTCACACAGCTTCCTATGTAGGGATCATGATTATCACATGGGCATTCGCCATAGGAGCTGGAATGACGAGGGAACAGGAGGAACAGATCATTCTGTTCGCAAGGGATCTCATTGTAAGGAGTCGGGAAAGAGATCGTGCCTGGCTTGAGACTACCATTGTGGGATATCTATTTCAAGAAGCGCAAGGAGTGTAGCAATTCTGATATAAGCTTATGTCTGCTTTACAGTGGCCCTTTACTAGTCTGAATCAAGTGTCTCAATAGGCCTGAGGCCGCTGTTGGAGAGAAATCCAATTAACAGTACAAAGGGGTTAAATAGGGCGTGGAGCCCTGCAGCTCGCTCTAGAGACGGCCCCTGGCTTACGGGATTTGAAGTGAGCGACGAAACAGATGACCTCACTATACAATCGGTGAGCAGATCTGCATTACTGAGGTGACGCCTCGCCTCGCATCTACACTGAAGAGCTTGTAATGGCGGTCAGCTCAAATAGTCATCGTGTTATTGGTGTAGAGCCTTCGCAAGCCATGTTGCCATAAAAAAAAGGTTAGGTTGGTTGTTCAGGGGAGAATATACATCTGGAGGGAAAGGCGCATGCGATAATGCTTATGCAGAAGAAGTTGCATCCTTACTCTCTGTTGCATACGCTTATTTTACTCCAGGCAAACTTCCTTTGTCTAGCCGTCGTGGCCAAGATGCAAGGGCTTCTGCATCGGTGAGCCACAACTCACATGTTAAGGTACAGTATCTGATCCTGCGACCACTGTCTTCTAAACCTATATCGGTACCTAGAGCCTTTCGCCAGAGTTTACTTCGGTAGATTTCTGCACTGTAAATGTTTCAACAGTGTCATTGTTCATATCAGCCACTCAGTGAAATCGTTTTCAGCTGCAAGTACTACCAAATTACGCCTTAAATCTATACATGAACACTCGGCGGTCAAGACAGCAGCTTCGTCCCCTGAATGTGTAACTAATCAACTAGTTAATTATACCAGGCAAGGGATATGTGTCAATCGCTGGCGGTGAGTCGCCGCTAATCTGTTCTGACTGGAGGTACAGTTCGACAACACATTAGTATTACACAATAATGTACACATATCCAGCTCAGATTTTTATTCGCCAGGAACAATCGCCGACAAAGGCACTCGATGTATCCTCTTTGCATGACTTTTATTGCCAAGATTAACCTAGATATAAAGCTTTCTTGTCGGCCTCTACAATCTGCATATAGGTTCACTTGGCTGGACATTCGGTAAAAAAAAACCTCCTTCACCAACATCATGATTCGAGATTTGGAGGATATATCCACGGACTTGACGAGAACATCGGCCTCCATCAAGTTATACCAGGAAACTGGGTTTGACAAGTACCGGCAGGAGGCTCTTGAACATGCCCCCAGGCTTGTGAGAAGCCTGGAGAAACCAGCTGATGCAATCTATAAGTTGTTCCTCCAGGTGCAGCTACTCACCCGGTGATGTTCACTCGTTATCTGCTGACGTTCGAGTCGAAGCCATCGGTGCTCATGGCTGTCAAAACTGCGCATGACCTTGGGATTTTCACCATGTTATCTCAAACAAATAGCTTCGTCACTTGTGGGCAGATGGCTGCTCTCAAGGTTATTCGTCCTATCGTGAATGCTGATGCCCCCATGCATAGAGCGAATTATGCGTGTCCTTGTATGCAACGGCTTCGCCAAAGAGCGAGTTCATGGAGGGAACGCGAGCAAACACCCCCCATTGGGCGGACTGGTTCCCTGTTCAAGAGAGGATCCTTGATGGGGCTCTGACCGACCGCCCATTGCTGGTTGATATCGGTGGGGGCCGTGGCCATGATTTGGCTGGGTTCAAGGATCGGTTCCCATCCGTGACCGGGAAGCTGATCCTGGAAGATTTGCCTCCCGTCATTGAAGATATTCAAGACCTCAGCAAGGATATACGAAGAATCAAACATGATTTTTTTATACCCCAACCCATCAAAGGCTGGTCGGCCTTCACCGTTTTCCTTCCTTCCTTTATCGTCTGGCCTTTTACTAGGTGCTCGCGCATACTACCTCAAGAACATCATGCATGATTGGTCGGATGAGAATTGCAGGCGCATTCTAAACCACATTACTGCTGCTATGGAGAAGGGCTACTCTAAGCTTCTTCTTGAAGATTATATTGTTCCTGACCAAAATGCCGGTGCCCGAGAGACCTTACTCGATATGACGGTTATGATTTGGTGTCCGGGAATTGAACGGACTCGCCGGCAATGGACAGAGCTTCTGGAATCTGTCGGACTAGTGATCAGGAACTTCTGGCTACCAGAGGGATGCCAAGGGCGTTATCGAAGCCGAACTCCTCGACGCAAGAGGTATTTAACTTGGGGCTTTGGTGACTAGGTTGGTAGCCATTTGAATCTTGAAGATGCACGTGAGGGCAGAACTGCCCCGGCTCTGGGTGCGACAAAGCCACGGCATACTTCACTTCAGTGACAATGCGATTAGCAGAGAAGGTATGGAATGAACTTCAATGATCTAAAGAAGTCCATTTCAGGGCCTACGTTGCTTTTTTCACGCCTGTGCCATCGGGTTTATCTATCACAGCCTCATAAGAATAAAACACGAATTGATACAGAGAGCTAAGAGATTATATAAGTAAGACAAAACTAAGAGTAACCTGTACTATTTCACTAGGACTTTATCAATAATACTATATATACATTTTTATCCAGAAAATCTATGATTATATGTCTTAGTAGCTGACAGCCTGCTCAGTAGATCTCTCTCAACCATGTAGGGGTTACATGATATGGCATGGGACATACCCAAGTAGTTCATTGTCCAACCATAACGCCGCTTGTGCATTTGTTTGCATACAAGGTTTCTCCCCCCTCCATTACCCTCCCAAAGTGATGAATAGATAGGAGTTTTGCTTCATTTACTAGCTACTTTCCTAATTAATTACTTCGTCAACTCTCGTCACCAGTAAGAAACAGGAATACAAATGGTGCCTGAGACTCTCAGTTTAGACCTGAGGCTATAGGCACACTTACCTACCACTTACACCCCTCTTCACCTTGGGCACGAACCTGCTATGTCCTGTACTAAGTACTCGGATCTTACTTTCCCCCATACTGCTTCACTATGGCTAAATAGTACACATTGGGTCTGTTGATCAGTGATCTGACCGTTGGTCTGGCTGCCTGGGTGTTTCATCGGTTTGGCCGATAGGGATTGTTACACGACTGTGTGATGTGCCGAAGACGGGCACGTCGATTTACGCGGTGCAAACTATGCGGCATTTTTTGTATTTTCTTGTTCATTAATAACGCGCCCAAGTCATAGCAATTTGAAAGAGAAGGTATTCTGTTGCAACACGAAAGAAAGAGAACGCCCTTGCCACTCGACACCGGTCAACCCTTGTAAGTCATGACGGGAATGAAAGAAATGAGGAGGTATGAGGAAAAACGCAAGTGGGACATTAGATAAGGCCAGCACAACCACACTCACACTCACACTCACACTCACACCCCCATCTCCTTCTCCTTTCCTGCTTCTGGATCCAGGTAATCTTCCTTCTCCGCGGCTTCATACTCGCCGACGAGATCCATGACCACTGCTCTGGCTTCGTCGAACTCGCCCAGGCCGTCCGAGAAGGGGCTCTCTTTCTTGTATTGCTCTAGGAAAGCGTTTCGCTTCCGCAGACGGTCGTATTGTTGCACGATTCGTTTAAACAGTGTCGCGACCGAGGTATGGTTCGCCAGCATCAGACCGCTGACGCGGTGGGTGTTCTGCATGTAGGGAGACTTCTTTGTCAATGCGACTTGGATGCTCGCTGGTCCCCATGGGATGAAGGAGGCCAGGCGTCGCTCCCGAATACGAAGGAGTGATTTGTGCACATCCGTCGGGTCTGCTTCTCCCTGGATTATGTTGAGGATACTGATGTAGCAGCTGGACTTGCTGGGGTTGATAGAGACCATGCGGTTCTTCGGCTGCAGCAGACGACGCATGACATCCAAAACAGTGGTCTTACGCACTGTCTTGGCCTGTTCGATGTTGTCGCCAGTGAACGGGGTGTATGAGGTGATCAGGAAGTGGCTGCGCGGTGTAGGGATGAGGGAAGCGATGATTCCCACGAGGTCATTGTGCATATATCCGGGGTATCGGAGGGTCGTTGTAGAAGCAGACATAACGGTAGAAACCTAGGAGTGATGAGTGCCAGTAGACTTGCAGGCGGGCGGTTACTTACAAGTTGGTTCGTTTGCTGGAAAGAAGGCTCTTGTACGTGGAGTCTATCCGCGACAATTCTTGAGAGAGCACCGTTATCCAATACCACCTAGGATGCAGTTTTAGTCAAGTACATTATGAACTCATCCGTAACAGTGCCTTACCACAGAGTCCGCATTCTGCGTCAACCTCCTCATTGCAAGCAAACTGTTGTATGGGTTGACCACAACGTCCGCAGACTGCGTGTCAGGAAAGACAGAGTAAGTCTGTATCAACTTCTTGGGAAATCGATCATTCATGCGTTCCAGTATGAAACTGCCCAGCCCTGAACCTGTACCGCCTGCGATCGAATGCAGGAACATAAATCCCTGTCATATTTACCATTAACACCAAGCTCAATTAGATACCTATGATTGCACGTCATATGTATCATGATCGCACCAGTATCATACCTCCAAAGAGTCACTGCCATCCGCTTCACGATCAATCATGTCAAAGATCTCTTCTTGCACGACCTCGCCTGCGGAATAGCCCGCTCCCCAGTTGTTTCCTGCGCCAATACCCTGTTGTCCGATAAAGAAGTTCTCTGGATTGTAGATGTTTCGGTACGGACCAGCCTGGATGGCATTGAGGACCTAATCGGAAAATTCTCAGCTCACCGTTCGCGCGATCACATTGGTTTCTTCGAGATAGTCTTTCGCGGAAGGGGTCGTACCCTAGGTTCTAAATCGAGCAGGATCGCTCGAGGAATATAGCGGGTATCATCACTCTATTGACCATGTTTGATTAGCTCTCTGGGTAATCGAAGCACAATGAGAATGGCAGGTATACCTGATAGAAGAAGACGTCTTTACGATCGCCGCCCTCGGTCGCGAAATCTTCCAGGTTTCCATCCTGGCTTATACCGTGCTCAAGACAGAGCTGTTGCCAGAATTGAGCGCCGACTAACGCAGATATAAGTTAGCGATGTCTCAGAATATGCCAGACGATGTTTGTCGAGAGCTATAGTGGGAGCTGCTTCTCGTGGGGAACCATACCATTGTTACCGCACTGGCCAGCTTGGATCGTTATGATTTCCCTAAATATGGAAATCAGATTCTGCTAATACAGTCACATGTTTCTAAACATGTTGTAGAAAAGCTGTGGGAGAGTCGAACCCACCTGGGCATCTTGTTCCTTGATCACCGCAAGTGATCGTGGATTATAGCCTACGCGTAGCGCGTTCCGCGGGGAAGTTCAAGTCTCGATTAGGTGTGTGGGGGCCTCAGGCCTAAACAGTCCCTTGTCGATTGCCTTGAAACCTTCCGCGCCCCAAAAGTAAACCAGAAACAACAAGACCATGGGCTAGCGGATCTTCTTCATTATACTTCATTTCCATTGGTAAATTATCACTGGAGACTTCCTGATCTGCTGCGAGTTGAGATAGCGAGGTTTTACGTCTCATACAAATCTATTCTATTGCTTGGGCTACGGGATGAAAATAAATGATTTAGTGACGCATAACACTGGGTTTCATGGAAACCATTGGCATCAAGACTAAGTACTAGCTAAAGTAACATAATAGACATACTATCTCTTCATAATAATACAGGTAGCTGCAGCCCGTCCTTCATAACGGGATGCATTGACCGCAGCTCATCATAGTACATGGTCTCTCTCAGTTTTACAACGTCTCCAACATGGGAGATGGTGTACTGACTGCAGACAGGCCTTTAGAAACCGGCTTTGCAAGCCGTCGCAAGCATCCCCGCTCCAGCAATAACGCCGTCGACTATTCTGACTTGACTGCCTTTCTGTCGTCCGTATGCTCTGACACATCCCTCTCTTATTGCGTCTTCCATGCCCACCATGCCGGCACAGCCCATGCATATCGCACCAACAGGATCGGTTGCCTTCGTCAGAAGCCGTTCTGTCGCTTCGACCAGTCTCCTTCTCACTTCTTGGGGAGGGGTGGTGTGTAGTTCGACGGCCGTCAGTCCAGTTGTTTCCACCCCGGAAAACCGACCAGTGGATGTGGAATCTCCCGAGTTGCCAAGCATGTCAGCGACCGCTTTTCTGAGTTCAGTCTCCCAGACTTTACCGGTCGAAATTATGCCGAACGTATCTCGAGATTGGGCCTTGCCGAAATCTGGGCCCGGAGTGGCTTGAAATGAACTAATCACGCCGAGAGCAGCAAGAACTGCCGCTTCAAAGATACCCGTCACGTACTTTTTCTTGACCTTCAGTTCCGAGGGAACTCCCGATGACTCTGCGTCTTCGATCGATCTGACTTTTTCTTTGAGCATACCAACGAGGGGATGAGCTGAGAAGCAGGCGACAATGAAGCCATCATACTCGGACACCAGTTGCTCTAGGAAGGGCATGCAATAAAAAGCCGACTTGACAGAATCTTCACCAGAATCGATACTGGGCACTCCTTCTACCACTCTTCCATCGGGGAGCGTGACTGATTCGGACGCTGGAGCTGTGAAGTAGTCAAATTGTATGCCTCCATGCCCGAGGTTATCCAGTATGGGTATCAAAGCGTTGGTCATGTGCGTTGAAGTGTTGGGGTTGATGACAAGAATGGAGTATTGAGTTTTTGTTGGCACAGTCATCTTGAATGATATGGATGTATAAACTTATGAACAAAAGAGTGTTTATGAAGTGCTGGACAGATAGAGAAAATGTTGAGTTGAGTTGACAAGGAAGCTGCCGATAACGGGTTGGTTGGTTGGGCTACTGCCACCGGCCTGCGGGGAAGCTACTACTGAGTCTGGGCATCTCATTTACCACTCAGCATGCCACCACGCTGACGGCCGGGATATATAAGTCTCAGCTTACTCGGTCTGTGGAGGGAAACCACCTCATGTGTAACCGGGTAATATTAATCCAAGCTCGTCATCGACGCCTCAGCAGATAGATATTGGTTCGGTGCCATGGGACGGCCGGAGTTGCGTGCGACAAGAAGTGTGGGGAGCCCGAATTCTTATCTATTTGAACCCCTCCCACCGGCCAGGTCTTTATCCCCCCTCCTCTTCTTCAGGCCTAAACCTTCCTGGCACCATCCAAACTCCACTGTCCCTTGGAACAGTCTACCTAAGATTTCCCGGATCCCTCTAACCGAGGTACGCATACATCTGAACACTTTCCAACATCAATTGGTCATCCCAGCTCAATTGTTTCAAGCATCGTCTTCTTCGACTTCATTATGCCGCTCCTCGCACAGAACCCCACTCCCCGGGTTATCCTCGGCTTGATGACCTTTGGCCCCAATGAAGCTGAGGGTGCTCGGATCACCTCCCTTGAGGATTTCAACAAATGCCTGGACTATTTTCAACAGCAAGGTTTCAATGAGGTCGACACGGCAAGGATTTATGTTGGAGGAGAACAAGAGGCGTTCACTGCTCAAGCCAAATGGAAGGAACGTGGTCTGACTCTGGCAACAAAGGTGTATCCGAAAGTTCCGGGCACCCACAAGCCTAATGTCTTGCGAGAAACCCTCGAAACATCCTTGAAGCAACTGGGAACAGAGAGTGTTGACATCTTTTATCTGCATGCACCCGACAGGTCGGTTCCCTTCGCGGAAACCTTGGAAGCTGTCAATGAACTGCACAAGGAAGGCAAATTCGTAGAACTCGGTCTGAGTAACTACACTGCCTTCGAAGTTGCGGAAATTGTGACCATCTGCAACGAACGAGGCTGGGTCCGGCCAACAATTTACCAGGCCATGTACAATGCCATCAGTGAGTCTCCCTTGCGTACACGCTAACTTCTCCTATGGCCCGGAAAAATGTTTCTGACCCTTTTCGCTATAGCACGCAGCATAGAGACCGAACTAATCCACGCTTGCAAGCGCTATGGTATTGACATTGTAATTTACAACCCCCTTGCTGGTGGACTCCTCTCGGGCAAGTATAAGACCCAAGATGTGCCAGAAGAAGGTAGGTACAGTGACAAGGCCCATAGTGGATCATTGTACCGCAGTCGGTATTTCAAGGATGCTACTTTTGACGCTCTAAGAATTATCGAGCCTGTCGTGGAAAAGCATGGATTGACATTGCCCGAGACTGCGTTTCGGTGGATCCGTCATCACTCTGCGTTGAATATCAACGATAATGGCCGTGATGGAATTCTAGTCGGAGTGAGTAGCCTTTCTCAACTGGAAAGCAACCTCAAGGATATCCAGAAAGGCCCGCTACCCGATGATGTGGTTGAGGCTCTGGACAAGGCCTGGTTGGTTGCAAAGGCTTCGGCTCCCGACTACTGGCACCTCCAGCTCAAATATACATACGATACCAAAGAGGCGTTGTTCAAGCCTAGTGCCAAGGCTTGATTGAGTGCATACCAGGGTATCTGGTAGGATTTAGAATGGGAGAATGCGATAATAGGAATGAATATTCATGACAGCAGTTCCAACTCGCTTGGCGATGAAAAACCTCAGCACGTGTTTCAGCAACTAGCCCCTGTAAGATAGAAGTAGAATGGGGTATGCAGAAGCTCACCGGTCCAGGCCATGGAGTTATGCAGAGGTTGGAGGGACTCGAGGATCGGTGGGTCTAGATCGAGATCCTCCGGCATGCTCTGCATATCTCCAAGCAGGTGACCGTGCCGCACATGTAAGCACCCACAAACATTCCCCTTCTTTCCCCGCTTCCTCCTGTTACCTACTCTTGGAACCAGATCCTTTCGCCTGCAAGCATCCAGGTATTGTCCGATGTCTGCAGTCTGTCGGGTTCATATTGCGGAGCCTGGATGGCGCTAATTATCAGCTGCCCAGGGATGATCCTCGCATCATACACAGTCAAGAATGGACTCTATAGGATGTGTGCTGTACCCTTGCATGGCACTTCACCTATGCCATCGTCTAAGCTAATCTGGGGTAGGCGCCTGACAGCTATTGTGCCACATTCTATTACCATCGCGCCTAGAACCTCACTCAAAGTCTTATCTCCGACTCCTCCTTACAAGTGCACATATCCCTTCACTGTGCTACTACGGAAAGTATAGCTCGAAGCGAATTGAGAGCTTATCTCCTTCGGTGACACATCGGAGCGTTTAGGACACAGAGAACCGGACTCAGTCTTGGCAGACCATGAGGTATTTGAAGACAAGGTGAATTTCACGATTCTGTAGTCCACGCTTGATCCGACAGAATCGTGCAGAACTAAGTGGACACTGCAATGAAACCTTACTGCCATGCATCTATGGTAGATAGCCGCCTGACACCAATAGCGTCCATGCACCAGCGATATCGACTAGATACAAGGAGCTGTTTCAAGGGGTTTGCAGACCTGGTTGTCCTTGGATCTCGAGTTGTGTTCATCTAGACCCTGGTAAATTGGCAGGTTGCGCTCATGCTGTGATCTAGATCCCAACCTTGAGGATGCAACGATTGTACGGGCCATGTGAGCATAGAGGTGTGGTAGTTGCTCTGGCTATCTCCTTGCGTGTTGCGCAAGTCAAGAATGGTCCAAATATAGAGGAAATTACGAGAATATATAAATAGGCTTACCAGCTTCGTCGATTACAATGGCGCAAAAGGAATCAGGTGGGCGATTTTGCTCTAGCGATACAATATGTCTCTTGTCATTGCTCGCTCGTTTGCGATCAAGGATCACCCAGATGAGGAAGCAAGTGGCTATCCAACGTCAGACATCGAGAAGAAGACCGTGATAAGTGTGACGCAGGAGTCTACCGCCGCTTCCACCGATGAAGTACTCAGTGGCTCCCACAAGAAGAAACTGATTTGGTTCTGGCGATCTCAGACCCCTGATCCTAATGCCATTGCAACGCAACCGTCAGTGTACGATGACCCTGACCTTGTTGAGGAGTACAAACCACGTCCCGATTGGGAAGGCATTCATCGCTTCGACCCGGCAGCAAGATGGACTTGGGCTGAAGAAAATGTATGTATGCGAGGCTCACTGTGAGCCGAAAGCTCTAATCTTAGGAATACCTAGAAAATCGTCAGAAAGTTGGACCTGCGTATCATTATATGGGCCTGCATAATGATCACTGCCATGGAGCTCGATAAGTCTAATATTCGTGGGTGAATATATATATTGATACCACCTGATGCACTGACAATATCAGAGCAAGCCAATGCCGATAATTTCCTGACCGATATCCGTTTAAGTCGTGATGGTCAGTAACTTCCATTAAGCTTAAAATGCCGGGAAGATAGTTCATACCTTATACAATACACAGATTACAATTTGGGGAACACATTGTACAGACTGTGCTTCATGTTCAGCGAAATACCCACCCAGATCATCAGCAAGAGGATTGGCTGCGACAGGTGGATCCCTATACAGATGATTGCGTGGTCGATTGTTGCTAGCTGCCAATTCTGGCTATCCAACAGAGAGTCTTTCCTGGTCTGCCGAGCTTTGATAGGATTGGTTTCAGGAGGCTTCACGCCCACTGTAAGTGGCTATACTGTTCTCTGTCCCATTATACCCCTCTAAATTCCAGCAGGTCATCCTTTATCTCTCGTATTTCTACAAGCACCATGAGCTGTCGATACGTCTTGGATACTGGTATGCAGCAGCTTCTTTGGCCGACATGCTGGCGGGAATACTCGCGTATGGGATCCTCCACCTAGACGGTCATGGTGGGCAAGCTGGTTGGCGATGGCTCTTCTTGATTGAGGTATGTAGATATCTCTGCCTTTGATGTCGCATTTAGCTCAAGCGGAACAGGGCCTCCTCACCCTGGCGTTAGGCCTTCTTGCTATCATCCTATTACCCCCTTCAGCGACACAGACAGCTCATTGGGCTCGTGGAAAGAAGGGCTGGTTTACAGCAAGGTGAGCCAAGATAGAAGTCAAACGGGGAAGTACCAGGATGCTGATATGAGAAATATGAGCAGGGAGGAGACCATCATGGTCAATCGCCTCTTACGAGAAGATCCGAGTAAGGGCTCAATGCATAACCGCCAACCACTAACAGCCAAGCTTGTATGGATGAGTATCAAAGACTTTGATTTGTGGCCGCTATACATCGTCGGAATGCTGTTCTCGGCGCCCAATAGTCAGTACACCCCGTTGTATGAATCCTGGGAAGCCATTGACTAAGTCTGTGAATAGCTACTGTCTCGCAGTATTTTACATTGCAGTTGAAGGATTATGGGTTCAGCACCTTCAACACCATTCTACTATCCCTCCCTTGCAGTGTAAGTAGAATGAGAGCAACAAATGGCCCACGGTATGACAGTTCTGACTGACCCCCAGGTCATCGGAATCATAACAAGAATTCTCCTCACCTATGCAGGAGAGATATTCGGTTCACTTGCCTGGATGGGAGTTGTGGCGCAGCTTTGGTGCTTGCCGTTTCTCATTTACATGAATGTGGTGAACCTGAGCGAAACCAACAAGTGGATCGTATGGAGCGTTCTTACGCTCTTCCTCGGTTTCCCTAACGGTAGGCAGATTGCATTTGAGGAAGCCGAGTTTATTTGGGTTAAGAGTACTGATGTGAAGTCGAATAGCTCATGCTCTCCAAGCTGGATGGGTATCCCGCAATTCGAACAGCGTGCGAACTCGGGCTATTGCAGCTGCGATATACAACATGTCTGTACAACTATCTGCCATCATAGCTTCGAACATATATCGGGATTGTAAGTGTCTTTCCCACCTATCAGCCTGCAATGCTGTATGCCTAGGCTGATCAAGAATGAATTCGCGATTTGACCTGTAGGGGATGCACCACGTTATGTGGTCGGAAACCGAGTGCTCCTGTCTATTGTGAGCGTCAACATGGCTATCTACTTGGCGACCAAAGCATACTATATGCTACGGAACCGACAACGGGACCGGAAATGGAACGCCATGACTGAGGATCAACGAGTCGACTATGTTGCAACCACAAGAGATGAGGGAAATAAGCGGCTAGATTTCCGGTTCGCACACTAAGAGGGGAGGGTTAAAATGCCTTCTGGGATACGGTGCTATGTTTTGAAGGTGAGGCTGTAGATGTAATAGGACTTAAAGTGATGATAGTGTAGTGATTGATGCATGTATGAAACAATGTTGCTATAAATAATAGTTAAATAAGAAGACGATGACACCTACTTATTTTAAGGTTGAATTTCTGGAGAAAAGGCACGGCATGTCCTAATGCGGAAGGCACCCATGGAGGTCCCTCACTGAGTCACGTGAAATAATCCGCGCTTTCCCGATCTGGGATGGAACGGGGTCCCGGTGGGCCAGTCAGATGCGAGAGTCGCATCTAATACGGAGTAAGTAAAGTAACCAATTGTCTGCAAGTCCCTCCCCAACTGCTTGCAATTGCAATGTAACCGCATCAGCCATATCTCCTTCCTCCTCCCTCTCCCTCACAATTCAATTTTGCACTGCTGTGCTTCGATCTCATATCACTCTTGATCTTCCTCTTCATTCCCCTTTTCACCATTTCTTTCTGTTACTCCTCACTGCGGCCAAGTCTTGGCTACAGTTTCCTTGACACCCCCTAATCCTGACGTACTTGGCAAACGTGGCCGCAGCGGCGGTGCTTCGCCCCGGAGCCGCCCATTATATACCGTGTTGCATGCCCTCGTCAGCCGGTCTTTTCCCGGGGGCAACTGACCTGGATTCTTTCTGCTTTTTATGCGCAATACCCACATGAACAGTCTTTTACATACTGCAATATTCTCACTGTCCTTCCCGTCTGTCTGATTAACTTGCGACCCGCGATAAACCAGCGGTCTCGTGCATCGTCCTTCTGTCAACGCGCGAAGTCCATTCTTTATTGTCTGTAGGGTGTCAACCCCCAAGAAAAAAGGTTCATACATATTTTCTTATCTTTTTAATTTCTGCGTTTCCTCTATTGTTTCCCGCTTGAAGGGTTTGAACGGAAGATTAAGACAAGGTGGCTTCAGACAGTGCGCAATCTTCGGGTCCGAGGGAGGTTAGGGACCCCGAGCTGGTTCTCGACACTCACGATTCGGATGATGAAATGCCCTTGAATCGCCCATCTATGCATCGCCCAGCCGACACCCGAGCAAACCAGCCTTTGCTCAAGGATGACCACAGAGGGCGACTGTCAAACGCCAGCCTAGGCCATGGGGAGGCAGAGGGCAGGCCCATGCTACACCATTCGCGACGGCCCACAATCAGGGGTGTGAGCCCGGAGCGCAATGCGGAGCAGGAGACTCGGCGCAAGTACATGATCGCGTCCGGATTCCTGTTGTTGAGTCTGGCTAGTTTCGTGGTGCAGACGGAGACCGCGGTATATATTCAGCACGAGCTGCACTGGGATAAACCGTACTGCATGCTGTAAGTGGTGCACCAGTCGCATGATCCGTTAGTGCAAGGGGACGCTAACCTCTGACCTGATCTTAATTTATAGCTATCTTACACACGGTTCTTGGTCCCTACTCTGGCCGGCACAACTCCTCATCCTCCGATTGCAACAGCGTAAACTCTCATGGACAGCGTTCTGGCGACGCCATGTCTATCTCCTTCGGACGACAGCCAAGATGGTGGAAGCTCAAGATCTACACCTCACTTCTCGCGACTCCCAGCGATCACCGGTTCGATACATGCTTAAAACGACCGCATTTGTCACCACCGCCCTCACCATAGCCGGTGGCTCTTGGTATGTCGCGGTCAACATGACAACGGCCAGTGACTTGACCGCGATCTACAACTGCTCCGCCTTCTTCGCCTATGCGTTCTCCATACCCCTGCTCAACGACAAGCTTCGCTTTGACAAAGTGTTTGCCGTCGTAGTAGCGATTGTCGGAGTTCTGGTCGTCGCTTATGGAGATAGGGACGAAAGCAAGAAGACTGCAGATGGTACGGTCGGCAAAGCGCATGATGAGGCAGAAAATAGACTCTTCGGGAACATCATTATCGGAGTTGGCAGTGTGCTCTATGGGTTGTACGAGGTGCTCTACAAGAGATATGCTTGCCCTCCAGAGGGCACGAGTCCCGGCCGGAGCATGATCTTTGCCAACACTTTTGGCAGTCTCATTGGGTGCTTCACCCTTCTTGTTCTCTGGATTCCACTGCCCATTCTCCATATACTGGGCCTGGAAACGTTCCGCTGGCCTACTGGCGAAGCTGCATGGATGCTTATGATCTCTGTCCTTGCTAATGCTAGTAAGTCTTCTGACCTATGACGTCGAGTGTACGTGCTAACAAAGTGTTCCTCAAATTAGCATTCTCCGGCTCCTTCCTGGTTCTCATCTCGCTCACTTCTCCCGTCCTTTCATCTGTAGCAGCGCTGCTTACCATCTTCCTCGTCGCCATCGCCGACTGGCTCCGAACCGGCCAGCCTCCCTCCGCCGCGGCTATCATCGGCGGTATCCTTATCATTGGTGCCTTCTTCCTGCTAAGTTGGAGCACATACCGAGAAATGAACGAAGAGCGCAAGAAGAGCATGGCAAATGACCAGTCCGAGTCCGACCTCGATGAATAGACATCACTTTGTTAGACGGGACTTATAAACCCTTCCTACCCGCTGGTGGAGTCTTGAGTTGTTTTCCATTGGTCGCGCGGATCGATCTATGGCTTTATCATATCGGTTGCCTTCATCTGTGTATATGCATTTATTAGGAGTACTTACACACTTTTGTTTCTACAGTATATAGAAAGATATAGACTTGGGAGGAACGGTTTCGGTTCTGTTTAACTTCTTGAATTATGAAAAAGTCCCCATTCCGTGCTAGTATGTTGAAGTAATGAGCTAAAGTTAGTTATCTTGTATTGTTTACTGAGGAGAAGGAAAGGACCGATCGTAAGGAGGAAAAGATAGACATACAAGCCAGCTCGATTCAGTCATTTCTTCACATGCTAGATGACATGACATGACACCAAGCCGGCCTTACTTAACTCAATCTCCCCGACACGCCAGAAAAGCTATAATTGTATGTACGTAGTATGGGACAAATGACGGAGCTATGGAAATAGAACATGAGGAAGGAGGGGGTGGGGGGGAAAAGAGGCTGCTCGGGGAAGGCGTAAGATGGAGGTGATTTTGTTCAGTTCGCAGCGCGGGAAAACCGGAATCCCCGATAGATGGTAGGTAATGATAGGTAGTCGGTAGGTAAGGTTGGAAATGAAATATACAACATATGTACTGAATGAAAGAGACAACTATCTAGGGCCGAGCTTGGCCAGGGCACGTGCACCCTGTTCCTGCCACTCTTGCTTGGTAACCCACATATCCTCCTTGTCGGCAATCTGGTGATTGTGTTAGCGATGATGTGGCTCGTATACAGAAGAACAGGTATAATGGGTGATATAGGAAGATTAAGGGGGCTTACCAGGTTGGCGAGGACGGCACCTCCCAGGAAGACCATGTGTCTTCGTCGCGGCGGGTCCTCGATGCGCACCTTGAATTTCTAAATTATGAAATTAGCCTGTAGAATCTTTTGGTGGGGTGCTGTCCACCAGCGAGTGAGGATACGTACGTTCAACCTCTCCGGGTTGCCTTGCAGGACCCGTGTGAGCCACAATTGCTTGAGCTCCTTCTCCAACCGGGAAGGCAGACCGGGGTACATGCTGCTTCCTCCACTCAGCACGATAGCCTTGTAGAGACTGGAGCGCACGTCGACATCGGCGCCCTGGATGGTGTTGAAGAGCAACTCGGCGATACCGGGTTGGTCGACATCCACCAGGTGCGGCTGGAAGAGACATTCGGGGGCTTCAAAGCGCTCGCTACCGACGCGGATGACGCGACCATCGGGGAGGGTGTAGGACTCGACAAGGACGGTGGTGTCCTCGGAGAGCTTCTTGTCCAACTCGAGATCGTAGGACACGTAGCAGAGCTTCTCCTTGATCTGGCGCACGGTCTCGAAGTCGGCGGTACGGTTCAAGGCATAACCGCGACGGAGCAAGAGGGCGATGAGGTTACGGGTGACATCGCGACCGGCGACATCAAGTCGGCGAATGTGGTGGTTAAGGACTGTAGATTCGTAGACGGGGATAATGTGGGTGACACCGTCACCGGAGTCAACGACCACACCACTGCTGAGACCTGCGGAATGCGAAAGAGCGGGCGATCAGAGCTGTGGTCTAAGAGTGATACAAGACATAGAGCGTGCAAGACTTACCCTGGGCGTATAATGCAAGCACAGCTTGAATAGCAACGTATACACCTCCAAAGTTGTAGCCTTCCAGCATAACCTCAGCCATTTGCTCCCGGTTCTTCAGGGGATTCATGGGGGGCTCAGTCAAGAGGATCTTGCGGCCCGTAGGATCGATCTTCATCTTCTCGTAAAAGGTGTAATTCCATAGATGTTGCATGTCGTCCCATCTCTTCACGATACCATTCTCCATCTGTATACCAAGTCGGGCCCAACGTTAACACGTCTGCCACACCTCCGGAGAGACAACGGAGCGATCGGGGGTAGAACGAAGGCACGCGAATGGATGACGTACAGGGTAGGTGATTTGCAGCATAGATCTGGCAGCAGCAGCTTCATCTCCGCACATGATATCCTTGACGACAATGTCGCCGGCCTGCTCCTCCGTTCGCAATATGGGCCGCCCCACTATCGAGGGGAACTGGTGCTCGGGGAAGTTCTGTTCATGGGCGGAAAAGGAGAGGTAAGTAAAGAGTAGGCAATGGGATGAAGATGGTGACAGACCTGCGCAGCATATCCGACCTTGAGGAAACCAGTTCCTCCGTCGAGCACTGGGAGGCGTGGTTGGTTAGCTGGGAAGCACGGGAGGGACAGGCACCGACAAGGAGAACTTGGGGGGGAGGAGGGGGGTTTAGGGAAGGGACTGGAAGAGGAGGGGGAACACGCATAAACATACCAATGGGCATGTCAGCCATGGTGAAGGATGTAGATTGTAAGAGGTCGCAAGAGTGATCAATTCCGGAGGGGTAAAAACAAAAGGAGCATGGGAGATGACGTCCAGAGAGCGGTAGGCTGGACGGGGTTGGGAAGCAGCAGTTAGTTAGTACGGAGTAGTAGTAAGTAGTAAGTAGTAGTCAGTCTGGCCTGTCTTTGGTTAGGAGTGGGTCCGTGACCGTCTCGTGTGGTCGGCCTGAGGCGGTGTCTCTCTTGATACCTGAGTGCCTGATGGCCTAGCAGCCTTAACTTGCTATCATTATTCAACAGGTCTGTCTCATAACTAACTAACCAGTAAACCTACACACATGGATCTTGCGAGAAAACTGTAAACAAATCAATTGATTGTCTACCCACTTATTCAGCCACAAGAAGTAACCACTGACATCAAAATATACAACCATCAAGGAACCCTCTGCTACTTCCATAAACAGCAGTAGTCGATCTTCAGGTTAGTGCTGTACTTAACGACCGTAGCAGCTCCCCGGCATCGGGCCCGCCCGATAGTATCAACGAAGTCTATTTACAACCACCGACGTATATATAGTCCCCCAAAACACCCGCTCAATCCCGTCCTGCATCTTAGACACGCTCAATCACTCCAGCTCAACATACATCATGACGCAAATCGGTTGGGTACGTTAGTTACAACGAAAAAGGGAGAATCTATCAGCTCAAGAACTAACCCCAATGCCAACCAGTTTGGCCTCGGCTCCATGGGCCTCGCCATGGCGAGCAATCTTCAAAGGCATCTAGCCCGCAAGACAGGCCCGGGTCTCATATACTCCAACCGAACCATTTCCCGAGGTGACCCCCTCAAGAAATTGGGCGGTACACCCGCAGACAACTTCTCGAAGCTTGTCTCGCAATGTGGAATTATCTTCACCATGGTACGCGATTCCTCCTCTAGAAGATGCGCAACAGCATCATTAGGGCCCAAAAGGACATAAGAAAACTAAACAAGTGACAGGTCTCCAATGACTCTGTTCTGCAAGAATTGGTCACCACAGCTATCAACTCCGGCCACTCCCTCAAAGACAAGATCTTTGTTGACTGCTCAACCGTTCTCCCCGAGACTGTGGGCACAGCAGTCTCGAAGCTGAAGGAGAAGGACGCGAAATTCCTAGCTGCCCCTGTTTTCGGGGGCAACCCCATCGCCGTTGATGGGAAGCTGGTTTTCGCCATCGGAGGGCCCAAACAGGCGGCAGAGGTGGTAAAGCCGTTCATCCAGGACGTGATGGGGAGAAAGGTGATTGATTGCGGAGAGGATGCTATGAAGTCTTCGCTTTTGAAGATCGCAGGGTACGTCGATTCTACCACCAACTTGTATTGGGTATAGGGGATGCAATTTCTTGCTAACGGGTGTATCTTTTTGTCAGAAACATCGTCACGGTGAATTTGATGGAGGCGGTTGGTGAAGCACAGGTCTTTGCTGAAAAGACAGGCTTGGGTACAGGGCCCATGGAGGATCTTATCGGAGAGGCTTTTGGAGGGGTGGCTGGGGGGTATTCTAAACGGTGAGTGTGCCAAGTGTGTTGGGTGTTGTCTTATTCATCTCTACGGTAATACATGGCTGACACTGGTAGGTTGACGACTGGTGCCTATGCACCACCTTTGGACTCTCGCCCCGGCTTCGGGGTATCTCTGGCCATCAAAGATGCAAAGCACGCGTTTTCCATGGCGAAGAAGCATAACGTGGAATTGCCGGGATTGCAGGTTTCTCTCGATAACATGGAGGCTGCCAGGGAGTATGCGGGCGAATGCTTGGACAGCAGCTCCATGTACGGCTATCTGCGGCAGAAGGCAGGCCTAGAGTTTTGGAATGAAAAGAGTCGTCAGGGGAACTCTCAATAGATTAGACTAGATATATGCGGCTACTTATGTTGATCTCTTTCTAGATGGGCGAAATCAGTAGTTACATTGTCCTATATAGTAATTGATATATCCGAAGATCTTCATCAGGCATTCAAATGGTCAGGGATGTGACAGCCCTTCCAGACAGTTACCTACTGTCGGACCGTCCTCCTGCCCGCAGTCTGTGACATGCGACTACGTGGTGGGGAGTTAGAAACCCCTCCATACAGCCCTCCATTAAGGCAGCTTCCGGAGCTTGAGGGCCGCACGGGATATTAACCTTTTTTTGGATTGTTCCCGTGATGCAAATGTTCACGCAGGAACACTCTTGTTCTCAAAAGCATGCAAGGCCAGTGGAATAGGGTTGCTTGACTTTTGCCTGACAGCCTGACAGCCTGACAAGTGAAGCAAATCTCGAAATAGTTGTCAAATGTCGGCCAGCGTAGGTCATAGGCGACACGATTTAGGTGGTACCGTACGAGACGGATGTGTCAGGGGATGGAGACTACTGTATGCAGTCCTAAAGTTCAGCTCAACTTTTGTATGTTGTCTCGGCCAACGATATTGACCACCGTTAGCCAGCACCACTGGGGCACCAAGTACAGCGAGAGATGACTGAAGAGGAGAAGTAAATAAACTCCAAAGTCGAAAACAGCTTGTCATGCCCAACGTCTTAGTCATGAAGATGCACCATCTGACTTGATAAATGACAAGCGATGGCTGATAATCTGTCTGTATTAGTGAGAAGCTCTAATCCTTGTGGTTTCGACCAAGGAAGGATAGGCTTCTGCAAAAGCGGGCCCCAGCGACCAGTTACTGAGATTGCGGAAGTGTCTTTCAAAGACGGGATTGACCATAAGCTCGTCACCGTCACCAGAAGACAAAAGGCAGTCTGTCGCTTCGTAGGGCCAATTCACCGAAAGCGTACGCGTGAAGGGAATAAACCAATTTTCGAAGGGGTAATCCTGGTACGACATCACCAGGCGATCTCGCATTCGCGGCCATGGCAGATAGTCAATCCAAGCTGGATGGGCCGTGAGAAGCTGCGACGGGCGAGGAGTGAGCCACTCGGGCAACCGGTCATAATTTTCAGGGGTCGGATAAATCTGCCACCGCATGAGGAGGAACATGAGAAACAGCACGGCCACTTGTTCTGGGAGGGTTGAGATATCTGGGAAGGTCCGCAAGATGTCGGTGAACACTTTCGACAAGGGATGCGAGTAAACGCTTTTCTCTGGATTGAGGAGGGAGGAGACGCTGGGGTAAGAAGGTCCGACTAGGCTCTGCTTTGAAACCCCCTTCGCTGCTTGGTGCTGTCGATTATGAAGAAAATCCAACAGAATGGCGTCCAGCGTGCATGTCGGAGCGACGTTGCGAATCGGGGTCAGGTAAGCAGGCAGTGGCTGTTCCGCCATAGAAGGATGACCACCGGATGGGTAGGTTGGCGATGGATTCGATGATGGCCTCAGTGTCTCCGATGAGCGTCGAAAGCCCTCCACTTTGGGGACCTGCTGCGATGCGTCAAGCAAGAAGTTAAAGCCCATTCGTTCATCAGTCCCGCCAAAGTCCAGACCGTGAGCCAGGTTGTGTCGCTGGTAGTCGAACGCAATGCGGAAAGAAGCGGGGCCTGTCGCTGTTATCTCACGGCGTGCCGTACCGGACGCAAAGGCCGCATGTGCGGTGGAAGAAGATGCCTCGGAATTCGTAGCAGACTCTGCAAACGGGTGCTCGCCAGGGGCTGGCCTCTGGGTATTGGCTGAGAAACGGAAGGCATCGGACAACGGCGGCGTCGACGTTATTGGGGGGATTCGATTGTTGGTTGACGAAGGCGTCGCGGTCAAAGTATCTGGAAGAATAAACTGTTAATGCAACTGTTTCCCCGACAGACCACGTAGTGGTTATGGGAGCATACTCGGCTTCTCTTGTTGCCCCAACAAAGGCTGAATTATATCCATGATCGCTTTCAGTCCATGTCGGATCTCCCGATTCTCTGCTTGGATGACTTCATTTTGCCTCAAAGCCGCCTGAAGATCCAAGAAGGGCTTCTGCGACGAAAGATCTCGGACTCGTTGTTCTAGAGAATCGATATGAGCTTTCGTCCTTTCGCGAATGGCGCGCTGGGCCTGCCGGTCGTTCGCCCTCTTCTTCGCCAACTGCTCAGGGGTGAGATTCGCTACACCACGCGCTGAGGTACAGTTAAGCTTGCGTTTGCGACCTGCGCCTGTTGCCGGTGTTCCATTGTTATCCGGTGCGGGTGTTTCTGCGTCCGCGGAGGTCAATGCGGACGGTGTGGGGGAGTCCTCCAGTTTTACCACATCGGACCCGGGAGTGGCGACCGGGGCGGCGGTGGATGGGCCTTGAACTGTCGAGGGTGTAACAGCAGCAGCCGCAGCGGACGAGGAGAAGGAGGCGGAGGGAATCGAAGAGGATTCCGGATTCGCTGAAGCAGCAACATCGGTTAGAGGAGGAAGGCGGGTGGCCATGGCCTCACTCGCAGGCTACTACGGGAACGCAGCGGCCATGCAACACGACGGGGTAAGGAGCACAAGCAAAGCGGATCAGAATCCCAGACACAATTCAGGGGATCTGGGGTTCACTGAAGAATGGTCAGGGTGGCATCGAGAAGGAAAGGCAGAAGAGATAAAAATAAAAGGAGCAGCCGATCCGGACGAGTAAGGACTGGCACCAGGACCGGCGAGTCATTTGAGAGGGGGGGGGCAAGAGGAGAAAAATAGGGAAATGATCATTGGGGAAAGGCAGCCTTCAGCAACCTTCTCTGGTCGGAGGAGAACAGTCAGTCTGGTTGGCTGCGGTGGAGTTGCCCCAAAGTCAATTATCGGCACCACGTTTTGCCTTTTTTTTTACCCTGACAGCACCAGAAGACAAGAGACAAGATTCTTGCAGAAAAGCCAGGCCACGGCCGAGCCGGAGTGTCTTAGGCTTTTGCGCTGCTCTAAACTTCCATAGTTGTGGCGTTGCTCCGCTTTCTGTCCCGCGCACCCCGAAAGAGACAGCGAAAAAGTCCCTCGCCAAGGGTTCTGGATCCTAGAGCTATAGCACTAGATACTAAACTCCCTTCGCCATTAATCGGTGAATCGGTGGATCCAAAAGCTACGGAGCAATTGTCTCGGGTTGTCGGCACACGATCTCATGACAGCTCATTCTCAATTGGTTTATCCTTTCACTTTTGGCGTCATTCAGATGGTATCAAAAACCAAAGCTTGTTCCGGTATCCACAATCCTGGTGATGCCTAACCAGACCCAAATTGGTGAAAAAAGAACGCAGACAGATAACACTCCGTCCAAAATAGAAACCCGGAAACAAATAACAGAGGTACAGATGTACCGAGGGACAATGATAAACTCTTAGATCATAAAATCAGTTCATAACTGTACAGCATTACCGAGACCCAACCCGAGGCCTCATATAGTACACCCATTCGACAAAACGGCTATATAGTGGGTGAAACAGACAAGTGAGGGAATGCAACCAAAAAGATAAGTAAAAAATAAAAAGAAAAAGGAAATACGTGAAATGACTCTAGCGAGTTTATTCAATCATGTGTCCCATTTTCGCGATCTATTTGGACCCAAGAAAGTTAGCATCCCTGGCCGGAGCAAAATAACAAAAGTACCACAACCGAGGCAGAGGAAAGGGGAATAAAAAGCAAAAAACAACCAGTCTCGGAAAAACCAGTTGAAGAGTGACATGGTGAAACAAGCAAAACTTACCTTTGTCCTGAGATAGCCCTCTACTTCTAGACTTTTAATGCCCTGCTTTCCCCCCGATCTCCATGCCAAAGGTATCATTGGCACACGCTCCTTAACTGCCACCTCACGATTTGCACCCTCAATGGCGCGAACCTTATCCGGGTTATTCGTAAGAAGTCGGATGCCGTGAGGATTGGCATCCACACCCAACCCAAGGTCGACTAGGATCGCGGTAGCCAGACCGTAGCTTCTCGCGTCAGCAGGGTGTCGCAAGAGAAGATTAGCCTCTACAGTGTCGGAGCCAAGATCCTGCAAGTTGTAGGCCTTGAGCTTCTCCCCCAGTCCTATTCCGCGACCCTCTTGCCGCAGGTAAACAATCACCCCGCCAGAGGCATTGGAAGGCACCGGAACAGCTTGCTGGGAAGCCATTTCACTTAGAGTCTCCATGGGGAAGGACATCAACCTGGCTGCTTCGTCTAGTTGTTCACCACAATCGCAGCGCGCAGACCAGGCGGTCTCTCCGGTATAGCATTCGGAGTGTATCCTCACCAGTGGCGCTTGACTAGGTGAACTCTCTGTCGCAGTTGACCTTCCTGATGATACAGGTCCACCGTCAGCAGCTGCATTGCTGCCTTGCTCACCAGCTGCACCCTCAGCGTTTCCATCATCATACCAACTGCTCACACGACCGGGATGCAATGTGCCCACATAAGCTCCACGTATCATACGATCCATTTCCGTTTCCCCTGGCCGAACCTTGTCCAGGCTCCGACTTCGAATAGTGTTTCCAAACACAATTGCCAAGTGCTCTTTGTTGTCCAAGTTGTTGTGATAGAGATGGAGAAACATCTCCGCGCCGGTGGTGGTGGGAATCCGTGCGCGAACGATGCATTCGACTTCGGGAAGGCAAGGAAGAAGTTTCGGAGCTTTAGTGTGTGGTAACTGTTGAGTCTGTTGAAGCAATTTCGCTGGATTGAATGTACCACCGGGGGTAGCTGGAGGGGTGAAGGACGGGGAGAGGAGGGAGGCAGGCACGGCGGGGGTTACATCACCCCGATCGCTATCTGCGCTGTCAGACTGGGCGATAGCACTGTCACGAAGCTCGTCTACTCTGCTATCTGAGGGCAGAATTGCTGTTTGATCTGTGCTAATGGAGAGTTCTTCCACAGGGTGGGAGGGCGCATCTTGCGCCACGAAGGTTGGGGAGGCGTGGGAAGGTAGGTTCGACATGATGGCCGCGGATAACAACGCGCAGATAGATGGAGAGGTAAAGAGGGCGAAAGTTGTATGGCGAAGAAGTTGCGGAAGATCCTGACAATAGGTTGTGGACAAGAAATTATAACAGTGAGACGGCGACAAAGGAGGACATGATCATAGGAAATAGTTGTAAAGTATCACCATTGCCGTGGGATGACCATGGGCCAGTTATCCCGCACTTGCTCTGTTTCGGCGCCGCATGTGGTTTCGGACCCTCGGGATCAACTGCGGCTTCGGCGGTGGGGGTACTCGCTGACTCACCCACCCATTTGTCAGGCCTGACACGCCTTATGTAATTCTTACTGCAGAGGAAGCTTCTGGACCGGTTATCTAGTTGTTTAGTTCTGTTAGAACTAAGTACCTAATGGATACTAGAAGAATGTAGGAATAATACGACAAACAATAACAGTAGCAAGTAGGTTGAAACCCCCATCTATGCAAGGAATTCAAAGTAAATGACACACGATAACTAGGTAACTATTACTATACCTCTCCAACATAACCAGCCAATTTGTGGCGATCATCCCACTCATCAAAGCAAACCTAACTCCGTAAATCCCGCCTCACCCGCCAAATTGAAACATTCCAGCTCAATGAATGGGTATCAAAATATAGTGCAACCGACCATGGTGCAAATCTCTTCTTCGTTTTGCCCCTGTTTCCCTGTTCATCCTTTCTTTTCACCCCGTCTTTTGTGCCTTGCCCCTGTCTTGTTCGCCTGCCCACTTGGGGGCAGTTTCACACTCTTACTGGCGCTGTCACTTGAGGGGATGACAGCACTCCGTAGATCTCTCGTAGTGTAACAGACATCCCAAGACTGGCACTACTTCCCAGGTATATCAAGTACAAAGCGTCGATCTACCTCCATCTCTTTATCATCTTCTTCGCCCTCAAACTTGAGTCGGTAGACATCCTTTTTGGAACCCATGACTTCCGCACGATAGAACGTGGTCGTATCCGGATATCTCGCCAAAACTTGCTTCCCTACAGAGAATGAGGGCAAGGCTGACCCCATCTGGGGAATGGGGATCAGAGATGCGGCAGTGGTTTTGTAAACAGCTCCCTGTTCACCGTTCTCGTTTGGCTCCGGGTCCTGCACGTCATACCTTGAAAGATACATCGGTCAATGATCCTGTGGAAGTGGACTGGGGCGTCACGCCGTACCGTTTTTTCACTCCATCCCCAGAGATCCCCTTGATAATGCACTGAATGCCCTCGCCTTCGACCCCTTGTTTGTTCTTGTTGTGTTTGAAGACAACCTCCGCCCCAACCACCAGGTGTCCGCTGCGCTCTGCAAGGGTACCCTTGGTGCCCTCTGTGCCTTCTTCTACTTTGACATACACACCGCTGTCGCGGATGTCTCGGCTGTCACGGACCTGAGTGCTGGAAACACTGGTACTACGCTGAACGCCACCTTTCGTGCGACCGACCTTGTCTGGCAAGGCAGTAGTGGAGGGCCCAGGCGAGTCAGTTGCTGACCCGTCCAGTTCATTGCGCTTCTTCCGCGACTTGGAAAACGTAGCAGCGCGATTTTGAGGGGCCTCCGCTTCGGACGCCTGTCGAAGCGCGGTCAGGAGACCCAAGTTCTTGATAACATCGCTAGGCTCATCCTGGAGAATGGCTCTCTCATCGTCGCACAGCTTTGACATTTGTCGATAGAGACTATCGAGCTGATCGTGCTCGCTGAGAGAAGGTTCTATTTCGGCGGTCAGCATTCATGATCTGCACAGCAAGTAAAAGCCATAAAACAGATAAGGCGAAACGAGGACATGATGGCAAAAAGCAATATAAGGCCAACCGCTTAATATTAGCCTGACAGTCAGGACATGATAGTCAGAAGGCCTCGTGCAAAGTGTAGAACGAAACGAAGGAAGATAAGCCCCAGTGTCATGAAACATTCAGCGATTCGGGCCATGTTCTATTCTTTGTAGGGCATGCAGTATGTGGGTAAGGCGGATTAGAAAGGAAGATTTATATAATACTTACTTCCACCCTCTTTACCGATCTTTTCGTTCAAGGCGGCGATCTGGTCTGCCAGCGTCTTCTGCTTGTCATTCTTCTCTTTCGCTTTGCGAAGGTCTTGGAGGATCTTGTTCCACATGTCAGTCTCTTCATTGGCCGCCAGTCCGTTGTCCCTGGGGACTGGAGGACCTCTTGGCCGATTCCGGGACATTTTCTTAGATTTCTTGGAAGGTGAGCTCTGGTCCCTAGCTGTAGTAGCAGCAGTAGCAGCAGTCGTAGTAGCCCTTAGTTGACTATTCCTGGTTTTAGCCGAGGTTGCAACGGGGGCGGAGTCTCTCGATTTCTCGATAGTTAGAGCCTCCCATTCGAAGGCGGAAAGGATATCCTGCCGGGCAGAGCTTCGAGTACCACGGGCAGCACCTTGTCTGAGGTTGTGGGGACGAACAGGAGAGGCACTCTGAGGCTTTGCAGAAAACGGATTGTCCGGGGTGGAAAACCTGTTGGGCCCGACTGATTGGGACGGAGGAGACGCGGGAACCTGAGCTTCAGGGACCCCGTCATGCTGAGCATGCGACTGCGAAGCTGTTCCTTGGGCGGAGAGCTTCCCTTCGCGGCTAGTCGGTAAGCGCTTTGCGCCCCATGGGACTCTTTGATTGGCAGAACCCATTCCGGTTCACGTAACGGATGCGGAACACCCAATCGGGAATGGAGCAGTAATGATTGAACGGAATATTAATTTAATGGTCGATAAAACGAGTTGGGCGGGATGGAGGGGCTCACCCTCTAAGACATCTTCTGGGGGAACGGAAGCAAGAATTATTTCGGTCGCTCATAAGGGATTGAAAACCCCCAGTGTTCTGTCTGAATTTTGACTTTCTTTTCTTTTCTGCTCTGTTGTGATTGAGAGAAAGTCAAGTTAGCGAGTGGATTTACTGAATAGTAGTATTCCAATTTGGTAACTGCCGTTGTTCCTCTTTCCCCCCCGCCATTCACTCACTACTAGTTCGCTCTTTCCTTCTTCTGTCCATCCTCCTCCTTCCCCTTCACACCAATACATTACTTATCATATTAGCTCCCTCAGCACTATGCAGGTACCATTGCTCCGTCTTCAGTGTGGTGAGTGTTCATCCTATCGAGCTTTCTACCCGAGAGAAAGAGAATAATATCACTGATAGTCTACTTTCTTTATCCACAGGTGTCAACAGCTATGACTGGGGTAGGACATCCCCGCATCCTGGATTGTTCCGCCCGCTGCATTTGCTGAAGCTGGTCTAGGCAAGATTGGCCATGAGTCGGCTGCCGCAAAGTATGCCGCCATCACTGCAGGCTCCGATTTCTCCATAGAAGCAGAGAAGCCCTACGCAGAGGTTCGTTTCTTGAATTCTCAATGTTCTCATGCCCGTAAACTGACCCGGTGACGTATAGTTGTGGATGGGCACCCATCCTTCCCTTCCCTCCAAAGATGTCGAAACCCAGCGAACCCTCCTCGATATGGTTCAAGATAACCAAGCATTGATCTCCCAGGAAGTGAGCGAGCGATATGGAGGAAAACTGCCTTTCCTTTTCAAGGTCCTTTCTATTCAAAAGGCTCTCAGTATTCAAGCCCATCCGAATAAGAAACTGGCCGAAAAGCTTCATGCCCGGGACGCCCGAAACTATCCAGGTAACCCCTATAATTTTCTCTTGACGCCAAACGCAACTCTAATTACCGTTATGTTATATAGATGATAATCACAAACCCGAAATGACGATTGCGATCACCCCGTTCGAAGGACTGTGCGGCTTCCGACCGCTGGCCGAAATCGTTCACTTCCTTAACGCAGTCGCCCCTCTCCGCGAGCTAGTCGGCACGCAAGCAGCGAATCAATTCGAGAGTGTTGTCAAGGGCTCCGAAGATTCGCAGGATTCGGCCCAGATGGCGAAGAACAAGGACGCGCTACGTTCCCTATTCACATCGCTAATGAAATCATCACCGGAAAGCATTGAGGCAGCCACCCAGAAGCTGATCTCCGCGGCTCAGGATTCTCCTGATACATTTGCTACTTCTACCAGCACTCCAGAGACGAATCCGAGCAACCCTGCCGAATTGGCTGCCATCATCGCTCGGCTTAACGGGCAATTCCCTAACGACATCGGGCTATTCGTATTCTTCTTCCTGAATTTCGTTAAGCTGGCACCGGGCGAAGCCATGTTCTTGAAGGCTGACGATATCCATGCATACATCTCTGGAGATATTATTGAATGCATGGCGTCGTCTGATAACGTTGTGCGAGCGGGCTTCACTCCCAAGTTCAAAGATGTTGATACACTCACCGAGATGCTGACATACTCCTATGCGCCAATTGAGGAGCAAAAGCTGGAGCCGACCGATTATCCATATGCCGTTCTCAATGCCTCCGCCTATTCTAGTGGCTCATCGTCTGTTCTCTACGACCCGCCCATTGAAGAGTTTAGTGTTGTCAAAACGGATCTGAAGAGGGCTGGAGCCAAAGCAACCTTCGACGCACTGGTGGGTCCCAGCATCCTGATATGCACGGGTGGAAATGGGAAGATCACGGTTGGCCACAAGACTGAGGAAGTGAAGGAAGGCTATGTGTTCTTTGTGGGAGCCAACGCCGAGTGTATCGTCGAGAGTACGGACAGTGGAGAGGAGAATGTGTTCACCACATATAAGGCATTCTGTGATCTGACGGGCAAGGAGGATATGGTGAACGGAAACTAGAATGTATCTATATCTAAGCCATAATGCATAAGGGGAGAATAACATACTTCTGAATTAGTAGTTCCGAGCCGAGGTCATCTCTCCAGCTGCGGGGGGGCTGGCTGAAGCATAGTGCAAGAGCTATTCCATTCTGCCCATCGGTGCATATGCACTCCACCTGCCCCTTGCTCTGGACAGTCAATCAATTGCCGAATATACTAGGTTTGTCTACCACTTTCAGCCGAACCACCTACTAGAAAGCGGGGGTATCAACCCCCATTACTTCAACCTTCAAGTCCTCTCCACATCC